TGGGCACTGCCAAGCTGGCTGGTCCGAACGACTGCATGTTTCTCTCAAGTCAAGGCAACTCAAGTTCACAGCAATCTTCTCAAACAAGCCTGAACACATCCCGTTCCGAGCAACCTTTTGCAAGCAACCTTGATGCGAAGCCAGCCATTGAAGCCAATGCAAGACCAAGGCTGCATCAGGCAGTTAAACGCCAAGGCATGCCAGCAAGGGCTTGGCAGTTGCGGCGTTGCTGGTGCTGCAAGGCAAGGTGTCCAACCCAAAAGCTGTGAGCGCAGCCAGCTGTACCGCATCTGCCGACCACAGCAGCAGTGGAAAGCTGAAGCTTGCCACAAAGTTCTGGGCACAGCCAAGCTGGCTGGTCCGTACAAATGCGTCTCTTGCTCAAGTCAAGACAAGACCAAGCTCCTCTTATCCTGCAAGCTTGAACATACCTATTCTGTTCAAAGCAACCTTTTTCGAGCAACCTTGATGCGAAGCCAGCCACAATGATAGACCAATACTGCATCCGCAATTGAACGCAACGCGTGCCAGCAAGGGCTGGGCAGTTGCGGCGCTGCCGGTGCTGCAAGGCAAGGCGTCCAACCCAAAAGCTGTGAGCGCATCCAGCCGTGCTGCATTTGCTGGCCACAGCGGCAGTCCGAAGCTGAAGCTTGCCTCGACGCCAAAGACAGGGGATTCATGCGCTCCTTGCCTTGCTCGTCAAGGCAACATGCTGCTCTCATTACTCCAAACACTCGTCCCGCAAGCCTGAGCGGCCTGAGCGTATCCCATTTGAAGCAACCTCTTGCAAGAAACTTTGATTCCAAGCCAGCTGAAGGAAATGCTAGAGCAAGACTGGGGCTGTCCTCAACGCACTCACGTTGCTACCGACAGACGTGCTGTTCTTCGGGGTGTATTTCTTGCTCAGGCCAGAAACACATTCAAGCTGGAAAAGCCCATGTTGAATACGTGCAGGGCGTGCCAGAAATCGAAGGAGCGCTCGGGCTGGGTGCAAAGTTGGAGTTGTTCTCAATCCCTGCAACTCTTTGGGCACAAAGCAGCGAGTGCCCCGACTGGGGAACCGGGCTTCAGGGCTCTGCGCCCTAAGAGTTCCTCGGCCGCCATGCAAATCTTTAGCGCCAGTGGTCTTATCACGGCCTTGAAAGATAAATCGAAGCCATAGCTGACAGGCCGCGGGAAATCCGAGTGCCTTCTTGCTTTGCGTCCTACACCGAAGCATGCCCCGCATGAACCGGACAGCCCTGAAGACTGCAAACACTGGAGAGCGTAAGGGATGGGAATTTGCACCGTTGCTGCAGCTGCACGGCAAACTGAAAAGGTGTGAGGATTGAGTCTCCCAACGGTAGCAGTCTGTCGCTGTAAATTGAAGGGACTTTCAATCAACTAGTTGGTTTGCGAAGGGTAGTTAGTGACGCGAGTGTCTTGACCTGGTCAACAGTTGCAGGGGCTTGGACCTGCGCGCGCTAACAAGCAAAAAAGAAGGCACACATTTATTTGCACGAGTTTCAAAACCCAAGCCAGCTGGAAGATCAAGGATCAGAACCAGGCATCTTTAACCTTCGGGCGCGTGGAAGCTTTGCACACCTGTGACATTTCCTCGGCAAAAGGCCGAGGCAAAAGGCTCCCTAGTCGCTTTACCTCACAGTGAAGCGGCATTTGAAGTCGAGGGGTTTGCACCCTTGCTGCACCTTTTTGATCCCGAAAGGGCGGCCGGTCACCTTCCATTTTGCACAATTCCCAGGTTTTAATTCATTTAGTCCTTCAAACCACCTGTTTTCGAGACCCCCAAACACCGGTTCGCCGGCGTGTCCAACGCAGGGTTCTGGGTCTTCCATTGAAAGCCCCAAAGTGTGAGAATGGTCCAAAACCCTTGATGGGCGCCTGCGATATGCTCAGCTGGACGCATGAACTGAATTCAGTGACACTGCGACCAGCTGAACACCAGATCTCATGACACCAGATCTCCAGCACGCTGACGTTGGGATCTCTAGCCCTTTAGAGTCACGCCAACCCTAGGTTCCAGTAACGGCTTGCCATTGGGAAACGGTCCAAGGAAGGTTCTGGCCAGTAAAAGCTCTTTCCTGCAACAAAGCTCTAAGCAGCATACCCCGTAACCGCCTGCTTCAAGCTACCTTGGTGACAGGCCATCCACCCATGACGCTAGACCAAGACTGCGTCACGCAGTTGAACCCCAGCACGTGCCAGCAAAGGCTGGACAGTTGCGGCGCTGACACTTCAAGACACGTCTAGGTGGGTGAACCCCGTGCCCAATCAAACATCGAACATAAAGGTCGTGCAAGTGCAGCATGCTTTTCAAATTCCCAACGAGCCGCAGGCTGGAGAAGGTCTCCGAGAGGTTGCAGGATGCTCAAGGAAACCTCTTGATTTGGGCTGTGGGAATTCGTTATCCTGTGATGGGACTCTCTCTTTCGGGCGAACTGGCTGGGAAGTCTGACTTGACAAAGTTGATGAGCAAAGGATTTGGTCGTCCAACCAGGTCAACGGCTCGCACATTCACATATTTGCAGCCCATGCGCCGGGCAAGCATGTCTTGAACCAGCCAGGTGTTCACTGGGATCAGTGACCTCGCTTGTTACCCTTCCAGCATGTTGGGACCCACATCTTTCCGAGTCAAGGTGTGTCTTCGAATGGCCTTTGCGCCAATGCTGGGGCAACGGCTTGAGCCAAACTGATTTCGGTGGCTCTGCGCCGGCGGCTCACCCCAGTCCCAGAATTCAAGTCCCGAAAACGGGAATTTCAAAATACAAGTTCCTGGAAACGGCCCTTTCGCCGGCCTTTCGCGGTCCTTTCGCGGCCCCATGTTTTCCTTTCGCGGTGACAAACCAGTCCTGAAAAAACTTGTTTCCGAGCCCAAACGAGGGTTCTACCACGTATTCGTTATGTTTCAATTCCTTTCGCGTTCCTTTCGCCGGCCTTTCGCGATGCAGTGTTTTCCTTTCGCGCTCTTCAGAACCTTCCTTTACTTAATTTTAAGACTGGCAATTTAGAACGACTCCCAAATGCATTGCTGTGGTTGCAACAGTTGTGCTTCAGTAACCGAACTTGGGGCACTGAAACTACCCAGAAGAGGGCAGTTCACGCCGTATGTTGAGCAATAACCCATTTTTTTGACAGAATAATCCGGGTCCGGGCAATAGCTTACCCCTAGAATCAGGACAAAAGTTCAGCGGTGCCGAAAACAGGGTGCATAAACCCTCTACTAACAAACCGGGCTCAAAGGGCCTGGGATGGAAGGCCCCCGTTCCAAACGGAATGTGCACTTCCCTGTTTTGTTGAAACCTAGCCTCAAAATCCCAAGTAAAAATAGGTTGTTGCCCCAAGATTATGGGGCGAACTCCCATCTTGATGGGTAGTTGAGGGTCCAGGTATTGACTATGAAAACCTTAAACAACTTGGCCGGATTTCCCTACAACAAGTTGGAAACGACTTGTGGGTTCCAACCAAACTCACTTGCGTGCATTGGTCAAAAAAAACGTCCAAACCTGGTATGTACCGCTAAAATGGTCCAAACCCAAAAATAATAAAAGTCCAGAAACTGAGAAAGTTGAGGTTTATTGCCTTTGGACCATTGAGGTTGGAGCACGCCCAAATTGTCCGCCCAAATTATCCTTCTTTTCCTGCGTGCAAATTGTCCGTTGAGGTCCAAAGAAGGAGAACTGAAGGACTGCCATAAGTTGCGGTTGGAGCACGCCCAATTTCAGTTACCTTGCGAGTGGCCTCCATCCGGGCTCGCTCTGATACTGGAGCCATGGGAAGCCATTGTTGGTTGTGTTTACAGGGGAATCACCATTCCAGGTTTTCTCACCACCTGAAGAAACCTAAAAATGATTCTTCCCCTGTAAATTCCAACAAACAATGGTTGGTCAGGGTTTCTGAACGGCGGTGCGAAATGGATTTCGTCCATCCACAGTATGTCCCCTTTCAGCAAGTTTAACCCCCCACCCTCGGGTGATGAGGGAGATGTCGGGCACTTCGAGAAAAAAAAGTACCCTCCAAAAACCTGGTTGCGAGACTTCGACCCCCTGCAAAGAGTTGCTATTGCTGGTACAAGGAGCAAATGAAGGACAGCCCAAAAAGGGCATATATATATATATGAAGAAATAATGTTTGTTGCGTATGAGAAAACAAACCACAGAGGGGCCTTTCTTGAAGTCAATGGGCATATGGGTTAAGCCATCGCCATCGCGCCAACAAACAGAAAGGCCATCGCGCCCACGCGAGGCACGCGAGGCACGCGAGGCACGCGAGGCACGCGAGTTGCACCTCCTCAGCCGAAAAAGAAGCAGCGGACAGGGCCCGGGCAATGCGCTCGGATTCGCGGATGTTTTGGCCACCAACTGGGGGGCGGAGTCCCAATATACGTTCAGGTTCTGCTTCATATAATGTGTTTGTTTTTACGGAACGGGACACCCAACATGGTGGTTGTGCTGTTGGTTTCCTGTAAAACCACCAGCCAAAAGGGGTATCCTCAAAAAAGAACGACACATCTACATATTGAGTTTACCTTAATGTAGGAGGAGACCCCGTCTACGGGTTGCGCAACTCCATTCTCTTTTCTCGTGGCTTTTCAAACCCAAAGCCCTGGCAGGTTTCATGGTGGGTGACCCACGTGGTGTGTAGTGGGAACCCAGGATTGATAAACCCCTGGTTGTCCCATGAGTAATCGGTTTTTTGCTACGATCCGCCAGCACTTCCTAGGGTCTACCACCTCGTGGGCTGATAGTCTGTGCAACCCAAAAACAAAATGCGGTTAGAGTATACAGTGTAAATCCCCCAAAGGGGTACAGTATATGTATGTATATTGTGTACCCCTTACTGTGGATCTTACCACTTACTAAAAAGGAGTGGGGGCCGAGTGGCGGCGGTACATATATGTAATTATACTGTGTACCCCCTGTAGATCATACCACTTACACAAATGGCTGGTCATCCGAGTAGCGGCCGACTTCGGTGACTTGTTTCGGGTTGCGGGTTTCAGCCTGGTGGGTGACCAGAATCCGTGTGCGCCCGCTCAGCGCTTTGCAGATCACCTCTTCGAAGACGTGGTGCCCAACGTGGGCGTCCAGGGCCGAGAGCACGTCGTCCATCAACACCACCTAGCGGAGCCACGGGGCAACCAGCGAGCCCCCCCGTTTTCCTTGCTGGTGCGGTAAGTAGGGAATCTGGGAATGAACCAGAAGGGATTCCTTTAAAGGAAAGCACAAGGCACGGTTTATGGGGGTCATTCCGGCATTCCCTGCTGAGCACCAGCAAGTTGTTCGTGGGGCACGGAAAACCAATGGGAAACCCCAACCTTTTAGGGGTCAAGACTAATTTATCTGTACCCACTCTTTCATGATATGCAAACCCCTGACAACAAATAAACATTGGTGTCTGAAAAAACAAACTTGGAACAGTTGGCTCAACGTATACTCTAGGAAAAGGCTTTCCGAAGATTGGGTCAGTGTCAACTCAGCTTCATTTGGACAGGTGGTCAACGCGGAGGTTCAACTCCCCAAAACAATCCAAACACATTTTCTCGCGGGTAAACCTCATCAGCTTGGCCCCTGGCAAAAGAAAGACACATGCAGGTGCCGCCTCAGCCCTTCAGGGACCCAGAAATGAAGGTAATCACCTCTTGACAAAGATGGAGCAAAAAAGGCTAGGTCATCCAGTAGAGGCTAGAATAAGGGTACCCTTGTTTTCTGTCGTCTATTTTAGTACGTAGGGGAACCCTCCTCCAAAAAAGTTGGTGAGAAAGGGCACTACTGGGGGACCTAAGCGCAACAAGAAGGTCAGATCCGGTCGATTCGCTTTGGGCACTTGTTGGCCCCCGCAAGGCTTTATGACCCCCGACCGCGTGAGGCTGTAATGATTCGAACGAGCCGAAATCAGTGGAACCCAGCTATTTTGCGGCACACTGCAACCTGCAGGCTGGTAAAGTTGTATACTGTTTCGTCTTGTCCTCGTGAGAATGCTGGCAACGCAACCTGCGCACAGAATGGTCATGCTTCTGAAAATGTGCGGGATGGTGATGCAAAGGCCATGCCGCTAGTTCATGCAGCCAATCCGATTCACATTCGGGCCTGTTGACTATGGGTCACAAACTCGTCAATCCAATGCAAAAAAGAACCGCCCAGCTTCTTCGTTCAGGGTTTAGTGGATACCCTTATAGCAGCTATCCACATATTTTCTGTTTGGTTTTTAAAGGGTGGTTCGCTTAGTTACCCATGCAGGCAAATAGACCCACTGGGCCTCAGGCTAAAACAAAAATTGACAAACAGATGTTCCGGGCCTCCCGGATTTTTGTTTGCATCCAACTTTTCCCAGATCGGTCCCCTGAAACCCTCCAGATCAACATGGCCCCTTCTGAAAGACCGCCATGCTTGGAGGAGACTCCTTTTGCGAGACTTGCTTAAGGGTTCCTTCCCTTAGTCTCCAGGGAAAATCCTTCATTTGTACCTGGAGTCTCCATGACCCGAATCAAAAATGGGGCCATTACCCAAAATTCAGGGGTCATGACCCCATTTTTTTAAAGGGTCATGGAGAGCCCAGGTAGAGTAAAGCCCAAGCCCCCCCCACGCCAATCCCACCCCCCCACCCCACCTGGGCGCCCGAGTACACCGCCCGCGCCAAGGACACCCGCTGCTTCTGCCCCCCAGAGAGCTGCACGCCCTCCTCCCCCACCAAGGTGTCCAGACCCGAAGGCAGCGAGTTGAGGTCCTCAAGCCGCGCTCGGCTCTTGATCGCTGGAACTCGGGATTCTTTTCGACGACCCGAGAAAGAGACCGGCGCACCCCGAAAAAAGATATGCCTGGAGTCTCCATGACCCTTTAAAAATGGGGTCATGGCCCAAAATAAAGGGGTCATGGACCCATTTTTTAAGGGTCATGGAGACTCCAGGTGGACTTGGCAGTGGTCAAAACCAGTTTGGGGTAGGTGCACCACCCATTTTGGCCTATTTCACCGGGGTTGCGGGCTGTTGACGCATGGCCATTTCACCACTGAAAAAATGTTTCTCATAGTTGTTCAATTGGGGAGAAGAAGCAAATGGAAGTGGGGGCTTGGGATTTTTTGCTCCACCTGGACCCAACCCATAGTCATCTTGTGTCCCAAGATGGGAGGTAAACAAAAGGTGGAGACTTCCCGAGGTACTACCTGGACTTTAAAATGGGTCAAAGTGCCCCAACATCATGGGGTGAGGTCCCTTTATAGCGGGTAGTTTGAGGGTTCAGGTACCCCTTCAAAAAAAGGGAACGAGCAATCATCACCCAGTTTTTAGTTGGAATTCCTGCGGGGGCGAGCAAGAAAAGGACTTTCGCCAACCATCATTTTGGGTTGCAATAACCAAGTTTATAGTTGGAATTGTGAGGGGGGGTCTTCTGTTGGACCAGGCGATGGTAACAGCCCCATGGGTGGAATTGGAACTCCAGAATGGGATGGTTCCACTTTACGGTTCCTGGTCAAAACGAGCCCAACATTTGGGGGTCCCTTCAGACCGCGCCCAAAGTTAAAATGACCTTGGTACCTTGAAGAAAAGGAATGATTCTGGAGGTGGGAAAGTGGGTTGCTTGGTTCCATGATACCTTTGCGGGAAAAATGTGTGGAGACTTGGTCACTGGTTTGGCGTCTAATTGGCAAATCCCGGGACCATGCCATCCAGGACCCGTCAGGTCGGACGCTCGCAATGCCCCAAAGAAAAAGTTGTCTTTGTGTTTTTTCCTTTGACCCAAACTGAACAGGATACTCAACTCAGTTGTTCAGTGACCCTGGAAAAAAAGGGAACCCTTTTTTGGGAAGACCATTTTAGTGGGGCCACCAAAAAAATGGAAAAGAATTGGTGCCACTGAACAACTGAGTCAATTACTAATACCGCACCCACCCCACCCACACCCACTGCTGATGGGTACCCCCTTCACCACCCATCTAAACCACCAATTGCGAGCTGGGCAGACAGAGAAAACAAACCCAGTGGATCCATTTACATGGTTTCGTACTTTAAAAACCAAAAGGAAAATAGCTGATTCTATAAGGACATGCCCGATATCCACTGGGGAACAAATTTCACTTGGTTGCTGCTAATCCCTCTGCAAACAGTTGAATAGACGTGCGTCCAATGGCAAATCTGACCTGATTCAACCAAGTTAAATTCCAAAGACAAATCCAGTAAAAAGAACCAAACAAAAAAACACATAAACAAAAAAGAAAAGAAGAAGAAAAAAACCGGGCCCGGGCCCGAAAAAGAAACGCCGTCCTGGGCGAGAGCGCAACTCTCCAAGGTCTCTGTGAGCTTCTGCTGGTTGAAGCTCTGGCCGAAGAGGATGTTCTCCAGCAGCGTGCCATTCAGCAGCCTTGGATTTGATTATATTATGTCGCCCGAAGGTTGGAATGACTAGGTCCTCCAGTGGAGAGGGTAGAATAAGGGTACCAACTTTTTTGTGTACTCCATTTTAGTAGGGTCCCGAACCCTCCCCAAAACAAGTTGGTAAAAGTTGGCAGGACTGGGGGACCTAGATGAGGTAAACCCAAATCTCCATCTGCTTTTTCGTCCCCAGGAAAAAAAACAATATATTTCCAGTGGCGATAGGTCCCCTTGAAGTAAAACATGTGCTTGAGCAAATAAAAGCAAACAAAAAGAAAAGCCTCAATGGGACCAAACTCAGACCCAGAAAGTCCGACACACCTGATATGATTTTCAAGATTGGGGGTTGATGACTTGGGAAGCCACATATTCAGCTAATACAGGGTCCGGATGCATAAAAAACACCTGAACATTGCAACTGGTAAATGCTGGTGTCCAACTTTGTTTTGGTGTTGAAAAAGGGAACCCTTTTTTTGGTCTTGGACCATTTTAGTGGGGCCACCCAAAAACAAAGTTGGAAAAAGAAAAAGGGTGCCGCTGAACAACTGAGAATATGGGCTCCATATAAGCTGGGTCCCAATTTCAAGGGTCACCATCTTGCTGGCCCCATTCTCATTTGACCTGTGGTGCTCATCTTGTTTTGAGGCTGGCTACCCCCGTTTTCTCCGTTTCAGTTTGGAAAATCAAAAGGAACACCACCAGTGGATCCCAGTTTTGCAGCCCTTACGTGTAACCAACTATGTTCCTTTGGGCTTTTAAAGGGTGGTTCCCTTGAATAGCTGCTAGGCAAGTGGATCCAATGGGACCATGTTGGGAGTCACCCCCCTGTTTTTGACAAGGCCCAAAATCCTGAAACCTGTGACCCTTTCAACGGACAACATCGCATCCATGCTTCAGACACCTTTTTACCCTGGACCTTTGAACGTACCTGAAATTTATGCCTCCCCTATCACGGCTGGTTTTTGGAATTTGTACCAGTTTTTCTTGGCTTGTCCTCTTTTTTGGACCTCGAGCGGTTTCGGAGGCATGCGGGCTGTCAGGTCCTAATATGAGCTACTCGAGCAGAAATTGCGTGTGTGTGTGTGCAAAAACGCCCGCAAACGAGCGCAACATTGAAAAGTGCTCAGTTGAACTTGTAAACCTCGGGCACTTGTTTATTGCTCGGGCAGAATTTGAAGAATCGATCACAAACTGTTCGTTTGAGATTATGTTTTAAACAAAAAGCGAGCCAAAAACAAAGTATCAATGAAAGGTTCAGGACCTGAACCCTCAAACTACTCCCCCCAACAAAAAAAGAGAAGTTCACCAACTCCATGATTTGGGGTTGCAATTTGACCCTGGAATCTTTGGCTGGGTCCAGGTCAGTTCCAAACGGAGACTGCAAGCCTCCGGCGACTCCAGGACTCCATGGTTCGATGGAACACCCGGGAAGGAAATCTGAGCCAACCGTTTGGGACGGCTTTCTGGCAGGTAACACGGGACGGTCACGTTTGGGGCTGTGGTTTTCATCTCTACTTTTGGTACGGGCTGGCAAAAAACTGACTGTTTTTGCAGACCCCCCAGTAAAAATGAACAGAACCCAAAAACTAAAAATCCAAAAAAACATGCCAAGACCAGCGAAGGTTTTGCTAGGTTTTGCGACTCCGCTCCCAAGACATTGGTCAATTCAAGGCAACATCTTTTCTTCGCCCGAGGGCCGATCTCGTTGTGCAGGCATCGAGCGGCGAAGCGCGATTTGGGTTGGGCCGCCGACTGCCCCCACGCTTTGAGTTGGAAAAGCCCTGGGTGAAGCATTTCGGAGTCTGGGAATTGCCTGGGCTGTCCGTTCTCTGATCCCGTGCTAAAAATCGAACACTGGCGCGTTAAAGGAAACCAAACCGCTAGACCAACCAAAGACAACTAAAAAATACTAAAAACCTAAGGAACCGGACGGCTGGGAACCGACAAGCCATGACTACATACTTCCTCTTACTTCCTGAGTGGATTGGCCGAGAGTCTGTTTTGTTTGCCGCTCAAATGGTTTTCCAGACAAATCCTGTTGTCCTAAACGTGATGGTTCCGCCAACCGCTGAAAGCTTTGGGGTCCTTGCCCAAACAGGCTTAAGTCGATGCCAAATAAAACGTGCTGTTGTTTATCCCCAAAACGTTCTTCTCAAAAAGGACAAAGTCCAGAGAGACTCAAAATGGAATCTATAGAAGGGAATCTGTACACGTGTCTCCCACACAAGGGACCCCATTTTGTTGGTCCCTTTGCTTTAAAGCGCTCCTTGCCCCGGACCTTGGGCCTTGTGCAGATTCTGCCAACCTCAGAAGCTAGCCACAACAAAGGGTGATTGCCCGATACATATATATATATATATATAGATAGATAGAGATGTAGATCTGGATATATATCTTATTTGTTCAGGGAAGCGGAGGAGGGCCCAGGACTCCGTTGTACCCCGAGGAACCCAGACCGCACCAAACCAAGCTGCCAGGGCCTTTGTGCCACGTAAGCGGTGGAGCGGCCTTGGTCACCCGTGTTCGGGCCGAGAAGGATGCATTGAACGTCACCCGGAATCCCAGATGATGCCTGGAATGAGCCCTACTGTGGATGGACGAAAACAATTTCGCACCACTTTGCAACCATGCGAAACCCATTGTTGGTTGGTATTTACAGGGGGAATCAGCATTCCAGGCTTTCTTAGGTGGTGCAGGAGTTTGTCGATCCACAGTATGTTCGGTATCCTCATACGGAAGATCGCAGAGAAGATCTGCGATCTTCTCTGGTACCCTTTCAGGTTAGTTTCAAGGGACATCAAGAGACACATCGGACATGTTTCGGGATTCGAGGACGTCCTCGGCCCACAAAGCGAGTTGGAGGCTCTTGCAAACATGAGCAAATTTCCTGAATACAAAGCCCTCCCTTACTTTGCCCCGAACCCTTGGGGCGGTCAACTGTCGGTCCGAATTCGCGGGCACCTCTTACACGAGGACAAACTTGTACTATGGAGGGCTCCAACTATCTTTGGCCCACATCCAAGGTACAGAACATAGCATCTTCAGATTCTCTGCCATAGTCTACCCTATCTGCCATAGTCCCAGAACCCCAGTGGTGGGAGAGAAAGGGGCACCCGCCAAGTTCTCTTTTGGCAGTCGTTCAAAGAACCCCAGCCCCTCCACCCAAAGGCTCCCGATTGTTTTAGGGCCTTCAATCCAGGTTTTGAGACCCCCAACCACCAATTCCCGGGGTGTCTAACGGAGGGGCCGGGTCCATTGAAAGCCGAAGCCAGGAGCCTCTGGGCTCCAGAGAAAATGAGAAAAAGGGCCACACGCCACCCAGAGGTCGTGGAATGGCCCCATGGCCCTTTCGGCCTCTCCGCCAGCAACTGCCGCCCTGCACTGGCTTGGTGCCTGGCTCTGAACCGCCGGCGTGGTGTTTTTCGGCCCCGTGATTTCATTCCTGACCAGCAAGAACACCAGCCAAAAAAGTTTTGTCGTAGACTAAATCATTGAAGTACAACATAACATTACAACTGACACACACACACACTGCTAGAAAGGACTGAACACATAAAGCTACACAAACGGTACGTCTATGCTTCAGAAACCCACAAAGACACTCGTGGCTTCATCTCGGGCACATCTTTTCCGATTCCGGGCACACTGGCTATGGGCTTGGTTCCCTACAAAAAGGGCAATTCGCAACTGGATCCACTGTGATCCAAGGGATCCGCATGTACCAAACGTAGGTGACCTGTGAAAAAATCGTTGGGTGGAACCCTGGTAAATGGCAAAACAGACCAAGCCAATCCAGTGGTATCCATCTATTTCTAGCCAAACAAACCGATCAAAACGACTCCTACTTAATGGGGCAGGCTACTTCGGAAGTGGTTAGTAAGCCTGGTAATCCATTTCGGAATACGAATGGCTCTTGTAGCTTGAACCATGATCACTATCCACTTATAACATCTAATAACCATGGCTTTCGTGGGTAATGATTCTTAGCCACCTAGCTGACGTAGCGAATCGATCGCCCCTTCCCTCCTGTGAGGCCCTCCAGCAGCGCGCTCTTCCCCGCGCCAATTGGCCCAGAGACCAGCCTTGTACCAGCTGAGCTGAGTGGAAAAATGATGAATTCCACTAGCTAAGAGGGTGTTTCCATGCTTTATTCCCTTCAACTCCATTAAGAGGGTGTTTTGATGTCAAGTTTGATGAGCCTGGGGTTTTTCCTTGGAGGAAACTCAGGCAGTAAGTGGTTTCATGCAAAAAAAACTCCGACTTCAAAGAGCAATCAAGGCTTGGCACCCGACCAACCAAAAAAACGACGAACATTGAAGCCCAAATCACATTGATGAGCTTCAAAGAGCAAAGGCTTGCGAGCCGGGAAGCCAAGCTATGAAACCAGCCCAAGCGGCTCGGGTTGGGGGAGGGGGGGCTTGTTCTTTGGATGACCGGCCGGAAACGGGGGGTGCCCTGGAACTCTGGAACTCAGCCTTCCTTACCTCCGGACGTCGTCTGCATTTTGAGGGCGGAATTGGAGAAAACAAAGGAAACTCGAAAAAGGGCGAGGGAAAAGACCAGCTGAGTGTGGCAATGCCACATGCTTTGTTGTAACCCACTTGTAAGTTCCTATGTCTACCGAATTGCAGGAGGGTTGCAACCGAGCCAATTTCACATAGGCCACATATAGGTGGCTTCCTGATACCCTAGATTGCTACCCGCTTGCTAACTGGGCCGAACATGCAGGCAACGGCTCTCTTGATAGGATCCGATTTACACTCTGTCTTTCTCTTCCTTTCGTTTCCCCGACCTCCTGAATACCACAAACAGTCTGAACATCTTTCCCCATTGGACACATGACCACGTGATGTTGACTAAAATATCTACTAAAGGGTCTAAGAAGGATTTTCTCCATATGGGTGTGTCGCTTTTTAGGGCTCCACCAAAATGGTGTTCCCGTAGCTCCGCTCACTGTGGAGGTACCAACTAAAACCGCAGACATGGATACCAACTTCGAAAATGATTCCAGCTTGAGAAAAGGGTCATTGCCCCAAACTTATGGTTGGTGAAGTTCCTTCTTTATGGGTAGTTTGAGGGTTCAGGACACCTCAGCAACTCTGTTTATCTCCCATAACCACGACTTCAACTTGATTGTTGTTCAGCCCCCCCGCTCGAACCACCTTTTGGGGGGGAAGTTCCAAATTCAAAAAAACAATGACAGACCTGGACCCTCCAAAATTCCAACAAAAACATGTGTTATTATCGCGAAACCTACGGTTGGTGAAGTCCCCTTTTTCATGGGAGTTTGTTGCGGGCTCGGGGACCCATAATGTTGACCCAGGATGAATAAACGGATTAATAAACCCGTCCCACTAAAAGAGGACCCCCCGATCAAAATCAACCAGGGGTTCTGCTTAATCCGGGGATAACATTACATCGAATACATACAACTGAGCCCGAAAGATTCAACTGAATAAGCCCAGGTGACATCTTCAGCCTCGCATTTATTTTTGTCCGGAAGCCCTGAGCTTGCAGGTGGTGCTCCTTCTGCTTAATCCGCGGTTCACATGTCGACTCCGTCGACTCCGAGGCGCAGCAGCTCCCCCGGCTGCACTTTCAGCGAGATCTGCCGCGCGCCGCGGAAGCCGTGCTCCTCCTCCGACACCGGCCAGCCCAGGTCGCAGTCCTCAGAGGTGGGCGAGCGAGGGCAGAGTCAGACCAGGTGGGACCTTCAGGAAGGTCAGATTTGAGAGGTTAGAATAAGTTGGGTGCCATTTTGTTTTCAGGAGGTCTAGTTTAGTAGAGGAACCCTCCCCAGCTGGGGGACCTTCTATGACCAGGAAGTGGGATTCTATGAAGGATCAACTTCCCTTCACTAGGCTGCCTGTTTTCAGATCCCCGGCTTAAAAGTTCTAAAACTTGTGGGTGAAAAACGGAAACTACCAGCAAGGCAACTGCTCAGGGCAGAATTAAACGGGATTTCATGTTAAGGGCTTGGAGCAGGGTGTGTGTGTGTGTGAATGTGTGTGTGTGTGAATGTGTGTGTGTGTGAATGTGTGTGTGTGTGTGTGTGTGTGAATGTGTGTGAATGTGTGTGTGTGTGTGTGTGTGAATGTGTGTGTGAGTGTGTGAATGTGTGTGAATGTGTGTGAATGTGTGTGTGTGTGTGTGCGCGCGCGCGTGCGTGAGTGCGTGCGTGCGTGCGTGCGTGTGGGTTCTTGTGTGTTTGCATGTTTGTGTGTTTTGGAGGGCTTTTTGGGGTGGCAACTTTTCAACTGAAACCAGCTTGAAAGCTGCAAGAATTGGGTGGCTCGTCTTTCCTTTAGGATTTGATCCCCCAAAATGGATTTTGGCCAGTGAACATCCCAATCCCCACTAAAATAGACTAAAATGGGTGGTGCACCTACCCCAAAATGGTACCATTGGTTTTGACCGACAGCCATTTCTCTTTGTTTCCCTTTCAACCAAAAACGGGGTACCCAGGACTTCTTGCATGCCTGGCCTGGAGGATGAAGTCGGCGTCTTGGGTGGGGACAACGTCCTGACGCAGCCCCAAACGTCTGAGTCCAGAAACTCAGACGCGAGACGGGATCTTTGTCAAGAGTCTCCATGACCCTTAAAGGATGGTGTCATGACCCCTTAGTTTTGGGTAATGACCCCATTTTTGAAGGGCCATGGAGACTCCAGGGAACAAAAAAGAAGTGCGCCCAAAGAACTCAGGGACTGAGATGTTTCTTGGCCAGCAACTCCTGAAAAACTCAGAGTGAGATGTTTCTTGGGTAGCAACCAGTCCGAAGTGGGTTCAAAAAACAGATCGACCAATCGAGACAGATTCAAAGAGCAATCATGCTGACCAAGCGGGTTTAAGCCTCAAGGCAACACCTGCCCAAGCTAAGGGTCTGGTTAAGGGGTCTTTCCTTGGATGACCGGCCCAAGCAAATGGTTAAGTCTACAAGTGGGTAAGGGATTCCATTTAGGGGACTTATTCAGCTGGGGATTATCAACCGCTTTCTAAGTAGGTCATCCAAGCACTCCAAACACCTGAATCTACGCTTAAAAGCCTGATGATTTACCTTCTTGTTAATCAGGGCTTAACATCATACTTGACCCAAGTCTGGGGTACACCAAAAGGAGTATGCTCAGAGCCAGCACCCTCCAATGGTCCAAGGGTGCTCCATTTGTACCTGATGTGCCCTTGAAGCCATTTTGGGTACCAATTGATTTCTTGGAGGGTGCCGGAGTCTGATTCATATTCAACTTTACTGTGGCTGGACGAAATCCTGCACTAGATTGAAGCCATGAAGAAACGCATCATTCCGTTGAGTGTTCGAGTTCGGTGGTGCGAGACTTGCGGATTTCGCAACCGTCCACAGTAGAACCGATCAAAAAAAACGGTTTTGGTTTGGAGAAAATCTTTGTGTCTTGGGATGTGACTGGAGTACAGTCAATAGAGCTCACCACCTGCTATTTTGCTGAGACCCAAAACAGCTTTGAGCCCCAGCCCGTCCAGCGCATAGCCGGAGTCTTGAAGCCAGGCCCCGTTGCTCGCCTCGGAACGGATTTTTGGAGCACCTCCGGGCTTCTCAGCTCGGGGCTTCTCAGCCACCCGCGTCATCACTGTTTTTTGGCCAGTGCTTGGGACTTGGGACATGGGAACAAGCAATTGCTGGGCTGTTGGGGGTTGCTGAGGCGTGACTTGTTTAGGGATATATTTTTGTTGAAAGCGTTGGGAAGGCCTTTGTCAAATACTGATTTAGAGCCATACACTGGGGAGTCATTAGCATCCCCATACTGACTATGCATTGTTTCCAACGGCCGTCCATTGCTATGGACCGTAGGAATACCTTAAAAAACACCAACCCAAGCGTGCAAGCTGTGTGTTTGCCACATAGATTCTCCCCAGCAGGTCTTGAGCAAAACTCTGAGAGTGAGGTTATTCTGGTTCCGTGTGGGAAGCCAAACGGTTTCCGGGGCCATTCGGTCAACACCGAATCCCCTTTCTTTCATTCCAGGGTTCCGGGAATGCGCCCATGAGACACCTGCATAGTTTGTTTTTGTCCTTTCTTTTTTTCCGGTACTCCTTTTTGGGTGAATTCTGAATGGAAACCAAAAGGAACACCCACCATTTTTGGGGCTTCCCCCAAAAAAGTCGCCGCACGCTGCTTTTTTCAAACGGTTTTGGGCCGGCCTCGCAGCACAGCAGCTGCTGCACGCGCGTGATTCCCACATAGGCGTCCAGAATGCTGGCCACTTGGTTGGGCAGCTGCCTGAGGTTCAGTCCCGAAAGGGACATGAGCTCCGTCCGTGTAAAACGAATGTTGACCCCATACTGTGGATGGACGAAATCCATTTCGCACCACATAAGAAACCATGGAATGATTCGATTCTCCTGAAAATACCAACACACAATCATTTCAGCATGGTTTCCAAGAGGTTCCACAGTATAAATCAACCCCAGTTTAGTAATACCGGGGGTGGGGGCCCCTCCAAAAGTGGTCTGATTCTCCACTAAAACCCAGGGACAGCCCCTAGTAATACATTGGGGTTGATTCATATGGGGTTAACATTAGAAGGTTCTACTATCAAAGGCTGATTGGATTTCGGTCCATACTACCCATGACCATTTGGGACCAGCAATGGGGGCTGATTAGAATAATTCAGCCTTCACTAACGGTTCATTAACCCACAAACTAGGGAATCATACCAGGGGTTCATATATGGACATATACATTCAGCCGTTGATACTACCATGGTTATGGAAGTCCAATTAGGCCAAACTAAACCAGGTAGTAGAGCCATCTACTAAAAGAATGGCCAACGGGGTTTTAGCGCTGCTCAATTTTACAAGACCTACTCCACATACCCCCAATTTTAGTGTGTGTGTGTGCTTTTCTGAGTTTGTCTGTTTGTTGAGGGTACACTTGTTGGGGTGGGTTTAAAAGGGAGACCAAAAGCACCACAAATTTGGAGGTTCCCCTCTTTGGACAAAACAACATGTTTTGCAACTTTGTTCAATGGGTTCTAACAAATGGGCTCCACCTACGCCAAATCGAGGACAATGGGGTTCCGTTTGGATGCTACACACATGACCCTTGGGTGCAAGCGATCGGAACGCGCAAATTTGGAACCCGTTGAACGGGTCCCCTGATCCCAATTCAGGAAACAGGTTGAACACCATGGTGCAGGGGTTCACTTACTGGTTCTCAGCAGGGAATGAAAAATGGAATGACCTACAAACCATCCCCCATGGCTTCCTTTCAGGGAATCCCAAAATGTCATTCCCGACCTATCGCACAGGGGTAGCTTCCTTTTCAGGGAAAAACTCAAAACGGTTCATTTCAAAAAGGATTCATTCCCGGCCCATCGCACCAGCAAGTGAACGTAACATACCCGAACAAAAGGGGGCTTTTTGGAGCGCGACTGTTTAGGGTGTCGAATCATCGACCCTTCACGTTCCGACCACCAGGGACACCCCTGGACCGTCAAATAGCTCCTTAAACCAGCAGTCCGGAGGCTGTGAGAGTGTCCAATGAGACAGTCTGCAAGGTTGAAGTGTTTTGACCAAACCACTTCTAGAACCTCCAGTAGAAAGGGTAGAATAAGGGTACCAACTTTTTTATCTGTAGTCTATTTTAGTAGAGAAAGGGCACTACTGGGGGACCTAGACTTGCAACCCCAGTGGAAACAAGGCGCGCCCTTGCTTTTGGCAGTTGATTTTGAAGGGACGCCCCTGCAAAAAAAGGAGCTTGCAAGACACAGGGCAGCGCCGGAGATAATTATTTTTGTTTGACGCCACCGAGCGGCATGATGTTGTCCTTCAGCAGGTTGGCCCAGGATAGGACCTCGCGAAATTGCAACCTCCCATTGCCCCTAGCCCGCAAAAACAAACAGGTTTTGGGATCTCCTTTTAGGAAGGTGTGGGGCCAAAGTAGCCCTTGAAATGGCTACGGCTTCCTTCTGGCTTCAGGAAACAAATGCCAAGCAAAAGGGGTCCGAAAACTATTTCAAGAAAGTCCCATGTCAATTTGCGGGGGAGTAAGGCAACTTGTTTGGGGACGAGGTGTAGTTCTGAGCGACATCCTGAGTCTCTGCTGTAGGCTTTACCTCGCTTTCAGAGCGGATTGGCCCGAAAAAAATCCTCCGGCACCCTCAAACTACCCATTAAAAAAAGAGTTCCAGGCGGATCTCTTGGTTGCCACAAAGATGCCAACTCAGCAAGTGACGCAGGTCCGGACGCTGAGGAAATCTATAATTAGCAGCCCCTCAGCCATACGGATGGCAATCAGCCCAGGGCAACAAAGTCAATGAGCCAACATCGAAATTGTAGCTCCAACGCGATGGCCTGAAAAACAATTCTAGATTCTGCAGTAGAAAGGTTAGAATAAGGGTACCCTTGTATCTGTAGTCTATTTTAGCAGGGGAACCCTCCCCCAAAAAGGGGTGAGAAAGCGCACCTGGCTGGGGGAGCTAGAATTTTAACTCCAGCCCAAAGGCCTGTCACATCTAAGCCGAGGGTTTGACTGCTGTGCCCCCCATCCATTTCCTCTCGGTGAAGCCGCTGTAAAGGCGATGGCGGCGTCCACTGGACGATCCAACACCTAAGCCGGGTTTTTTGCTTGGCCGACATGTGTACAAAGACCAGGTAACCCTTGATTGGTGGAGTTTGGATTGGCTTTGCGATTTGAACTTCTGGTTCTTGTACCTCCAAACCACATTTCAAACCACCAAGGCAAGCTGCACAAATGACAAGTTCTACGGGAAGCTGGCCAAACACACAGCAACATCGGGGATGTCCAGTAGAATCTTCCGTAGCTGGTTTCTTTCAAAGCACACACAATCAAATTCTGGCAACCATCATAATGGGTATGGCTCGATAGAATAGGGATTTGAGCCGCCAAAACGGGGTCAGTTTTCCTTTGGTGTGTCTTCAAAGCAACCTGGAAAGGGTACCCTCAACAAAAGACACCTATATGTCTAAAGTCACTTTAAAGAAGACCCCCAAGTGTGCAAGGGTAGGTTGATGACAAAAAGCAGTCTGTAGGGAAAGCTCGTTGCTCAAGCTGGCCTTTTTCTATTCTTTGGGGGGGGCATTCTTCCCAAGTTTGGGACTAGGTCCTCCAGTAGAGAGGTTAGAATAAGGGTACCAACTTTTTCTGTAGTCTATTTCAGTAGGGGAACCCTCCCCCAAACAAGGGTAAAATGGCACTACTGGGGGACCTAGTAGAAGCAAGCCGGTTTTAGCCTTCGGGGCAGGCCCCGAAGGAAGGATTCACAGAAGGTCGCATACCACAGGCCGCCCGAACGCGCGTCTGATGCCAGGGGAATATCATTCAACTTGGAGCACCTCAATCTGCCCCTGAAAAAGAACATTCACCCCATAAAGTTTTAGGGGGGCGACCCATTTTGTAAGTTGAGGCTCCATGTCGACACCGTGGATGGTTGCGAGATCCATATCGAACCTAAAAAACGTCTAACGGAATGAAACGTTATGGTTGTTCATTCCCATGGTTTCTTTTAGTGGTGCGAGAAGCGGATTTCATCCGTCCACAGTACCTCCAATACCCAACATGCGTAAAACCTGGACCCTCAGACTACCCATGACATGAAAAAGGGAGTTCACTCCCCCATTTTAAGCTAGCTCCTCCACTAGAGGTTAGAATCAGGGTACCACTTTTTTTCTGCGGTCTATTTCAGTCGGGGAACCCTCCCAACCAAAACAGTTGGTGAGAAAGGGCACCTAGCTGGTGGACCTAGACTTGCAACCCCAGCGGAAACCAGGCGCGCTGTTGCTCTTGGCCGTTTAGTTTTTTGGGCACTAACCAATTTTTTTGGGAGTTTTGAGGGTCCCGGAACGCAGAAAGGGGCCGGACGTAGGGCCGGACGCAGGGCCGGACGTGCCGCTTCGGCGCCAGTTCCAGCCACAGGAAGGACACGATGGTGGCGAAGAGGCTCACGGTGCTCCCGAGGCAGTTGGAGATGGGGAAGACCTGCCATCCATAGGTGGCCTTTGGGAAAAATCGATGGGGATGGCCCTGGTACATGGGGCGAATAAAACCCATCTAAACCAGTGGAACCCATCGATTTGCCTCCATGGCTCACCTCAAAAGGACACCTATTTTCCACTGAAATGAACAGCCTCCCTCCAAAAAGGTTTCCACCTTGTCATCATCCAATCTTTGTTTTGATGGGGGCAAGGAACCCTGGGGTGTACCATGCTGTACCCTCCTTTTCCATTCTTCACGGAACCTTCTCTTCAAAGGGGGCAAAGCCTTTAAAAATGGGTGGCCAAGGAGAAGCTATGGCTGAAGTGAATGGGCAATCAAACCTTGGAGCTGTCGCTTTGTCCGGGTGTTTCAGGGATCGTCTTGCCCCCCAAAAACGCGTTTTCAAGGCGGGTGAGACAGCCGAGGTTGACACATCCCTCGAACGGAATTCAAGAACCAGGCTGTTTCCCCCCAAAAGAACAAAAACTAAGCTGTTTCCCCCCCCCCCACAAAGAAAAAAGGACAAGGGTCCCTACCCTCACAACAGAACCAGGCTGTTCCCCCCACTGCAAAAACAGAGCAGCAGCAAGGCTCTTCGGCCCCTTTGCACCAAAAACAAAAGCGACGCCGTCCCCCCCGCCCCGCCCCTGGCCCACAAAAAACACACACACCAACACCCGCCCGCCCCCAGCCCGGGCTCCCCTCCCCCCCCCAAAAAACAAAACGCTCGCAGCCCCCCGCCTTGCGCTTCATCCATTGGGCCTCCAACTCCGCATCTCGTGCAACTCCCAGCAGGCCCAAAGCCACCTGCCCGACCCGGAGCTTGGCATTTGATGGAAAACCACAGAATTCCACGGCTGAAACCCACTGCGGATGGACAAAGTGTCGCACCACCGAACTGAAACCATGGTTGAAACCATTGTGTCCTTAGTATTTGCGTTGAGTGGCATCATTCCGTTGGGTGTCTGAACGGTGCAAAATGGAGTTCGCAACCATCCACACTATGGACTCCCGCGAGGTCATCTTAAATAAACTGTTTCTGGGGTGTTGTGCGCCCGAGTGTTTGTGGACACCTGACTTTGGGATACTCAGCTTCTCCAGATCATGTTTCATTTGAAGTTCCTCCGGTCAGTCTGTGAATCCGGGTGTTTGTGGTCGCAACTGAGGGGTTGGGCATCTCCGTGTCCGGGGTAGGGGTCAGGGTGAAGCAACTTGCTGACTCTCAACTGGGAAGTTGGCTTCCTCTGGGAAGCTGCACAGGATGGACCAGCTCATTCCATTTCTCATTCCCTACTGAGAACCAAACAGACAAATCCACTGAGAACCAGCAAGACAAAACAACTGATGATAACATGATTTGGGTGAATTATGGCAATCACGATTCACCAACCCAATGACGCTTTCCTACAGGCAGCGTCCAAAAGGGTGCGGAGTGAGGTTTCAGAGCTACATTAAGCACAGCTCAGATCCGATAGCATTCTCCCACCGCCCACAAAGTAACAACAGGAACCTGGTACTCAACAATAGGCAGAGAGGCAATCTGGCACCGGATATGGGTGTGCCTGTTTTTAGGGGACCTGGTTTTCCTTGTAGATTTCCTTTAGACTACCCTCAAAAAGACACCAAATACGCCGTTGACTGAGAAAAAAATGGATCGCCACGGTATGCGTCCCAACCATAGGCTGCAATATGGCTGGGGGTTGACACACCGGTGATTCCTTTTGGGAGCCTGTCCATGGCGGCATGACACCGACACGGACTTCTCCTCAGGGGGCACATGGTGTCAACCCAGCACTTCACATCTTGTCAAGGCTCCCCATGTTTCACATCACCCTTTTTACCTGGGCCAAACAGGTGATGCTTCAAACCACCCAGAAGAGAGGTAGGGAACTCTGTCAATCAAGACTTGTTGGAGAGTCACTGAAGCAACTCACATCTACTTCGCTTCATAACCTATGTGACACTCAAATCTGGGCTTAATAAGGAAGCCTCAAGACAAGAACCTTAAAGGGCGTTGCAAATTGTTTGCCTAGAGCAACTTTCAATCACGTTGCCCCCCCGCCCAAAAAGAACAGAAAAAGTTCAGGCGTTGGGCCCCAATTTCCCCCTTGTAACGCAGGGGGACACCTAATGCAAAGTCCAAGGGGAAAAAAACTAAATGCAAAGTCCGAGGGAAAAACACCCCATGCAAAGTTTAAGACAAAAAGCCAAGGCAAAACGACAAAGCTTTTTTTTCCCGTCTCCGGACATGGCACTTAGCAACCCACCTGCTCCAACGTGAAGCATTTCACCACGCGCATGGCCCCCAGGAATTCGTTGCACAGCCTCCCCCTCACGTCACGGCACTCCTGCACAAAACGCGTTTTGCGCCTCTTGAGTGACCCGCAAACGGGGTTCAAAGGTGGTTTTTGTTGAAGGGTAAGTCACCTTTTGGGGGGGTCTTAACAATGTGCGTGTTTTGTTTTTTTGGGTAAGTAACCCCTGTTTGGGGTGGTTTCAAAGGTATTTTGCTTTTTTTCAGGGAAAGTAACCCCTTTTTGGGGTGGTTTTAACTGAAGTCTGGGGCTCCATGTGCAAAACGGCACTCCTGTTGCAGGGAGAAAATGGACATGGACTTTTTTTCCATAGACCCACCCAACAATCACCTGGTACATGTAACCCTTTGAGACAGCTGGCAAAAGTGGATTGTGATTTGTACAAGATGTATCCTTCGAAGAAGCCTGTGCAAATCCACCTCGGTCGCCCCAAGGCGTTCTGTTGCTGTGGTCCTTGTTTCATCTTAAGGCACATGAACAACCTGAAGGCTTATTTGATACGGGGCCCACAATTCGAAGTTTCCCATAATTACTGGACATGGACAGATGAGTGGTTCGCCTTGTGTTTATTGGATTTACCTTTATCTCTTTTTTTTGTGTCCGAAACCCCGAATCGACCATAAACTGATGGACATGTTGACCACATGCGAGAAATGACAACACCCTGCTGTGATTTGGCTAAATGGTGTGGAGTTTTGGGGGGTGCCTACCCTGTTTGGCTCGGCAAGAACCACGAGTACGCAAAGAGTCCAAACCAAACTACGGGGTACCTGAACATAGAAAATGGTTGAGCAAAACCACTAGCTGCCATTTGGTGAGCCCGTGCCACGCCATTCCCTTCACTCCGGTAGACAAAGTGAATATAAACATCTTCCATCCAGTACTTGCAGTTCTCACATAGCTGGTCACAGCAACATGAAAAATCTAGCGGAAAAAAAAAGCTGGTCACACACTAATGCCCCCCCTCCAAAAGTGATAAATCCCCAGTAAAACCAGGGACACCCCCCATATTCATAAACAGGGGTTTATTGGTTCGGGGTCAACATTATTGTGGTGACTGGAAGCACTGGGCCATTTGGGCTTCTTTGCACTTCAGCACCGAACAAACAACAAGTGTCTACTTGGAGTCTCCATGACCTGTAAAAATGGAGTCATGACCCCTTTAGCCTCTAGTCATGGACACTCCAGGCAGTGCCACATGCTGCAAAGTGCTTGGATTTGCCTAGGTTCACGCACACAACAAAGGGCAAACTCCCTTGCTTGGATGACCACCCCAGGAAAACATTAGCCGCCTGAGTGGTTCATCCAAAGGTTGTCTGCTATATCAATCGGGCGAACACCCGTGTGCAAACATATACTTGTCTCCCCAAGAGGATCTGAGACAATTAGCGAGTTCTCTTGAATCGAATGTTTGGTGGGAATATTTTCAAGAGCCCCCATTACCAGAACCCGATATGGAGCATAGATGTTTTGACCGAAGCTCTTTTAAAAAAGGAAGGAATCCAACCCTAGAACGCCAGAATAGCATGGAACCAAAAGCCCCAGAGATGCCATAAGTTGCCTAAGGAACAGTTGTTTATCGTGCTATGGCTAAGCATTTGATAGCAGCTAACTCCTATGGTCATGACTAGGTTTGGCCATGAAGTACCCCACATAATCATTTACTAGGTCCTCCAGTAGAGAGTTTAGAATAAGGGTACCCTTTTTGCTGTAGTCTATTTTAGTAGGGGAACCCTCCCCCAGTAAAAGGTGCGAAAGGGCACTACCCCTGCAAATAGTTTTCAGCCGCAAAAAGGCAAACAGGTTCGTGAAACCAAACAATGCCAAATGTTAGAGCGTTCGCGGAAAGTGAGCCAGCTGCAAGTGGGCGATAACCTAGGTTAGTCAAGTCTGGCAATCTACAGAGGGAACCAAACCCTACTTGACTGACTATAAGTTGTTCATGTCCCAGGAAATGAGTAAATTGGGCGGCTATCAGGGGACCGACCCCCAACCCCCCCCCCCCCCAACAAAAAAACAGAGCACAAAAAAACAGCCCGGACCAGGCTGCCCCAGAATTGGCTCAAACAAAACCATTCTCCCAAGGGAAACCAAGTGAAGGATTGCTTGCACAAAGGCGTGTTAGAAGAGTCGGCCCAACCACTATTGTCCCACCAAAAAGGGGAACACAGGAAACTATACTTCAGATTCTGTTTACAGTCTACGCTGCAATACTATACAACGGGGTCTCAGGTTTTGGTCTCGTCGCCTGGGTGCGCTTGGAGGCGCGTTTGATCCGCTGGGTGAGGATCAGCTGTAGAGGCGCTGCCACTACAAAGACCAGCATCCTGTGGCGGAAGGCATTGCCGACTTAGGGCCCATTTGGCAGAGAGTGGAAATATCCTATCTGGGTTCCCACATAAACCACCATTCGAGGTGAATTCGGTCGTGTGTCGTTGTAATTCACCCAGATCCTATCTAGTACTTCGCCACCTCCTTTGGGCACAGCCACATGACGAGCACTCCAGCTCCAGCGCACCGGCTCAGCACTGCATCCATGCCACATGAGAAGCCAACCCGCTCCAGAGCCCCCGAATGCGTGCGCTTTCGCTAGAATGACGGGGAGGCAAAGTTCTTGGATGTGGGAACACGCTTTCAAACCATCTGCTGCTCAATAGGGAATGAGGGAATGAACCTAGGGATTCCCTTAAAGGAAGCCACCATTTGCATAGTTTTTCTCGGGGTCATTCCATTTCTCATTCCATGCATCTCTCGCACCAGCAAGTTTCAGCCCCGAGATCCGCGAGTCTCGCACTTAAACAACTTATAACCTAACACTAATGGATGTTTGCGAAATCCACCATTTTCTTTTAGAAACCCTTTGACAGACCTAGCAAATTAGATTCCCTTCGAATCTCGCAACATCTTCTTCAGCAAATGGGGGTTCATATAACCCACCATCGTTTACCTAAGGATTGTCATCCTCCAACCTTTGTTTTCCTGGGGGCAAGGAACCCTATCTAGCTCCTCCAGTAGAGAGCTTAGAATAAGGGTACCAACTGTTTTCTGCAGTCTATTTAGGGGCGGAACCCTCCAAACCAAAAAAGTTGGTGAGAAAGGGGCACCTAGCTGGGGGACCTAGCTTTCCATCCACCCGCAAATGGAAGATTTGGAGAATGAACGCTTTATAAAGCAAAGGGAAGAAGCTTCACATGGGTGCGTCTTTTCGGATCTCGACCCTATGGGGGCCAGGAACGCTATACCCCTTCGGAGCTGGGGCGGAGGCGGCCCAGGCGCCCCACGGGGCCGGCGGAGCCGGTGAGCTCCGTGAGGTGCCAGCACACCACGCCGATGGAGGCCAGCGCCAGGACGATGGAGCAGTGGCTCGCGTGCAGGAAGCACAGGACCCTCGCTCCGGAGATTCTCCCGGGGAATCGAGGTGCGGACCCTCAAAAATTCCAACTTGAAACTGGGAGATTGCCCCAAGAAATATGGAATTGCGGAACTTGTACCCTGGATTTGGTTCAGGCAGGCCACCAGGAAAACAACGTTGGGTTCATATCTCACCACTATTGTTTACCAAATTGTCATCATCCATATTGCGTCCTTGCCATTACTTGCCATTCTTTTAAGGGGGTTTGAACCCCAGGGTATTCCTTAAAAATAGGACACTGCCCCAAAAAATATGGGGTGAATTCCCTATTTTATGGGTGGTTTGAGGGTTCAGGTGGCTTGTTTCTTTGAGGCTCGTAAAGGGAAACCGGAGGGAAACCTGCCATTTAGGGGGTACTCCTAATTTGACACATATATACCTGCTTCTAGGCGCAAGGGAACAATCCTTCAGACTGGCGCTCAGTAGGGAATGACCGAGTCCTTCTTTTCCGGGACTGAACCTGGGGATTCCCTTAAAGGAGACCATAGGATATATTTGTTTGGGGGGTCCTTCCGTGTCTCATTCCTGAGAACCAGCCAGAAAAAACCGTTTGCCACCGGGAGGCGGCTTGGTGCAGTCCGTGGCAAAATGATTCTGCAGATCTCCCACGGTGTAGGGACACTCGTCCAAGCGCAGGAAGAGACCTCGGACTCGGTCGAGCTGTTTTTCAAGCGCCAACCGAAGTTACGACGGCAAATTCAATGAGTGGGTGCAACTGTTATTTTTTGGAAGGGCAAATGATGGGGCAAAAAGGGGGGGAACAGTCTTTGCTGGTTTAAAGGGAAGATGCTGGAGAAAAAAGGGAGCAACACAGTTGGTTCAGGCTGGCAATGTGTCAAACTCTCAAACTCCATCTCCAAGAAGTTTGCCAACTCACTCAGAGTGGGTTTCCTTGACTGAGACACCTCGGGAAAATATCCCCAGTGAGTTGGCTCCCATGACTCATATAATTTACGGGACAACATTTAACTGGGGATATGCGTTGTTTTCTAAGTGCCCAAACCCCTATTTTTGGGTTTGGGCTGCAGTGGGAAGGGTATTTGTTGTATATTATTTTCCTCGGGCCCGGGTTCGCTAGCCCCCCCCCCCCCCCGATATATTGGCTGGTGAGTGTTCGCGCTTGTGAAGCAACCAGGTGGTGTATGATGTTAGAGTCACCTAAGGGTATTCATACGTGTTTGCGGAAACTGGTTGCCCCCCTTCAACTTCTGATGTCGGATAACAAATATTCAATCGAGAGGGGGGTACAGAAGCGACTAGCCACAACCGTTCAAGGGCCTTCCCCACATGATTTGGCATTCCAAGATTCACATCCTCTACTTTGATGTTCATCTTGGTTGTGGAGTTCCGTCAGCAGCCACTTGGTGAGTACTTCACAAACGCACCATTGGCCAATTGGAGACAACCGGATTGAATTTACACCCCCATTGGAGTCACAATTAGAGTCAACCTGTGGGGGGAGGGAGGTATGAACAAAATCCTGCACCAGTCGGATGACTCACCTAATAAACTTGGCTGGAATTAGGACCCCAGCAAAAACATATCTTTTTTGCCTGGTGAGTGGAAAACAAAGGGAACCCCCAAAAAAGCAAAAAAGCGAAAAGGGGAGCAAATTCTGGAGAAGTAAACTGGTGCGAAGTGGATTTCGTCCAGTCCATAGCCTCCTGACTCCCGAAAGTGAACCGAAAGTCAACACGCTGTGTCAAGCCTCGCTCTTTCAGACCGGCTGAAAGAAGGGACATCAACACAAGAGATGTTGGGAAGTTCCATAGAACCCATGGGCAATCTCATAGAACCCAATGCGCAAACCTCGTTTTGGCGACGTGGGGTTCCACACAAAAAGCTTTCGAGTCGGGGCCAGCAAGCTGCAAATCCTGCTGCCGAGTTTCTGTGATACGGGAATCCCAGTAAAGAAGTTATGGGTTCGAAAACACTTTATCACCGATATGCGAAGGGTGCTCAACACTGGTTGCTTCCAAGGGCCCCTGAGGAATTGGTCGGGGTTCTTCATTGGAGGACCCCACATGGGGACTGCCTTGGAGAGGTCATGACCCTTACGGTGGGTGGTTGTTGATTCCCACAAACATGGCCAACATCCTGAAGTAAGCAATCGCATCCTTGTAGGTGCCGCTGTTTGTGCGCACGGCCGCGATGTGGGCGCCAGTGAGCGCGTAAGACCACGCACTGGGGATCAGACCACGCACTGGGGATCGTTTGCTCATCCTCCGAGAGTGAACTTTGAACCAGCTCCGACGTCACAAGGAGCACTGCCGTTCACCTTTCTAAACAGGATGTCCAGAAGTATGTTGTCTTCTTGTCCTCGTAGACGAGGACAAAGCGCAGAAATAGAGATGTAGCGTTCGTTGCTCCATTACAAGCGCGGACATGGCGAACCGGTAGCTTGGCTTTAATACAAGCCCTGCAGATTCTAACGTCGCGGAATTCCTAGTACTTCTCGGCATTGACCCAGTTTTGGACGCAAACGCCCGCAAAAAAAATGGCAACCGCCCGCAAAATGGCGCGAACACGCCTCAAACGCCGAAAAAACGCCTTGAATTTCAGACCGCCTAGGAATTCCTCGGCATTGGGGCATTGGAATCTCCAGGGTGCGGAAAGGCCCTACCCCAACCGTGTGTGCCGGGGGGGGGGGGGCCTTTTGGGGTCTCCAGAAAATGTGCGTGGCACATTCGCTTGTGTCAATGTTGCGCCTTATTTGGCTGTAGGCCGGCTCTTTCGAGGCAGCTTTCCAAAAGTCTCATGGGTTTTGAGCAAACAAAGAATCCCCAATGCAATCCCACTAAACAAAAGGCCAACAAATCGTCAAGCTCAATCCAGGTGAAGTTGCAATGTGGGTGTGGCTCAAACTTGGGCACGCAAAATCGAACCCTGGAAGAGGACAAGTAGACTGAGACCTGCGGTCCCCTTCCTAAATTTTGAGCTACATGCCCCAGACCCTCACCCACGAATTACTCGCCGGAGGGCGGTTTGGAGCCCAATCGGTGGCTTGGTGGGTTTTTGGCATGCCCATTTCCCCTCTACAGCCAGGGAGGTGTTCAAATCCAAATCCAGTCACCAATCCAAACCCTCAGCCCGCCAGGGCAACCCCTATTTTTGGCCCCGATTGTTTGAAGCCTCTTGATGGGCCGATCCCGGGCACCCGGAAACGGAAAACGCACAAATTTCGGGGCCGAAGTGCTCTTGCGGTACACCAGGTGCGACAAGAGCCTGGCTTGCAACGAAATGCACTTCCCCAGAAAACTCCTATGCCAAAGGCTGAACGTATACGTTCATATCTGAACCCCTGGTAATTTTATGGGGTAGTGATGGATTAATCTCATGGGTATCAGCCTCCAAAAGGGTCCAAAGTGGCCATGGGTTCATATATGGTCCTATACATTCAGCCCTGACTATGCAATATGCAGCGGCAGCATTTTCACGAGCATTAGAAAACCCGTATAGGCACATAGTTGGCATCTGAGAGCCCTCCAAATGGGTCAAGTACGGGCAAATGCTTTGCTTTTTACGTCTTCAAACCAAAAGAACCCGCCAGCTTTTCAAGTTGATCACTCTCTATCTATCCGAGGCTGTAGGCCCTACTTGGGTAGGCTTTACAGGGCTGCATTTCCCCTCCTCGTGGCCAAGTCCGAAATTAGGCTGGAACCTTGACATCCCTTTGGCGCCAAGCCTTGACTCCAGAAAGACCTGAAAAAAAAGGAACAAGAGGCACCTTTTGACAGACCACCCCCCTTACCTGGCTTGGCTGGATAAAATACATGAAGACATGCCCCAAACAAATCCTTGCCCGAGGTTTAGGATAAAAAGGCCAAAACAATTGCCAAATCGGGCCTTAACAGTTTGTGGGGTTGGTAGTCACTGAAAAGCTGGGCCCATTAGAGTGACATCCTCAAAGATACCTGCTAGAAAGGCGGTTTAACGGAAAACCGCTCTCCCAAGCAGAAATTTCAGAACTCAAAATGCAACCACCTTTTAGGGATTCAGAAAGTGCCTGACCCAAAATGCCGGAAAAAGAACAAGAAACAACTAACTTGCGGAACCACCTCGTTTGGCCTTCATCTGGGTGCGTCTTCCGTCAAAAGCCCGTCACATGGTTCTCGGGGCCGCGAGGAACGTCTCCCCAGAAACGGCCATACTGTGCATGAACAAAGTCCTGCACTAGTTGATAAGTGGCTAGGTTCTCTAGTAGAGAGGGTAGAATAAGGGTACCAACTTTTTTCTGTAGTTGATTTTAGTTGGGGAACCCTCCCCAAAAAATGGGTAAAACGGCACCTAGCCGGGGGACCTAGGTGGTTTACACCGGGCATTTCGGGTTTCCTCCATTCCAACTGGTGCAGAATGCCGTCCATGCACAGTACTAGTCGCTATTAACCCCTCGGATGCTCAACCCACTGAAGGTTTCTCAGCATGCCAAGGCAACTAAGCCCAGTTTATGCAGTTGCAACCTTGGCCAAATCACTTACCGGATCAAAGCGCTTGGACTCTCTTAATTACAAACATCCCCAGTCGAGCACCTGGAGCAAAACCGGGTTTGGTTGCGGGAGCTGCGGAACATCGGGGACTCGGCCTCTGAAAAAAAGTTCGAACCTTGACATCAGCTGAAGTGGTTCAAACTCTGAAAGTCATGGCCCATAGTCATATTAGGCATGATACTGTGGATGGACAAAATCCTGCACCACTTTGAAACCATGGGAAGCAATTTCTTGGTGGTATTTACAGGGAAATCATCATTCCAGGGCTTGTTAGGTGGTGCAGGATTTCAGGCATGACATCATTGAAATTCTGCCAAACATATCCACCTAGCCGACAAAACCGAGTTCAGAAGCTCCTTCTGGGCCTGGAAGCCTGCAGCCGAGGAGCACCTGCGCCTGCAAGTCCGCGCGCACGAACAAGGTCCAGGCGGCCTCCGCAAAGATCCACTGGCCCATCCTCAGCGGATTGTTTTTTGCTTTAGAGCGAGATTTGTTGTTTGTTGTTGATGTGCTTGCTTGTGTTTGCGCTTGTTTTGCTTTTTTGTATTTGGACCCAACGTGGAGCGTCGTTTGTTCTCTTCATTTTTTGACTTGGATCCCAACAAATGGTTGTTGTTCCCTGTGTTTTTTTCCATTTAGACCCCATTTTGCAAAATGGGCGGCTTCTCAAAACAAATAGTTTGTGTTTCCCCCCCCCCCCCCGGATTCGGACCTCAAAAAATGGCTTCCCGAAAAATCCAACACGCGAAGATGAGCGGCTTCCCAGAAAAGCAAGATCTCAAAAAGGGTACCAACTCAAAAAGAAAAACAGCATAGTGCCGGGTGTCTTTTTTGTGTCTGTTTTCGAAGGGAAACCAACAGCAACCTTTCTGTGGGTAGCGACTTTGAGACAAACCCATGGGAAAAAGGAAAGGTGACTGAGACCCCCTCCAAGTTCAAAGGGGAAAGGAGGAAGCGATCAGACAGGCCGCGGGGGCCTCGCAGGCCTCCGCGGTCGGGTTCCATGCTGCACCTTTGGTTTCCCCCAATTTGAGGGAAACCCCTTCAAGAGCAAAAGGCCGAGGGGAACTCCCTTTTTCCGGGGAAAGAGAACCCCACGTCCAAACTTTTGGAAGCCCCCTGACATCCATCGTCGAGCTCCTCCAGATTTGAGAGGTTAGAATAAGAGTACCAACTTTTTCTGCAGTCTATTTTAGTAGTGAACCGTCCCCCAAAAAAGGTGGCAAAAGGGCACCTAGCTGGGGGACCTAATTAGCGAAACCAAAGATTTGGAGTGACAAAGACGCAGCTGACTGGGCGCAAGAGGAACAAATATTCCATGGAACCAGTATGATCCTTCATTGTGAGTATAGGTGAGCTCGTTTGACCCTCAACGAGGTTCGCTGTAGCGAGCTAAACCGTCCAGAACCACCTTGAGCCTCTCCTTTGGACGTTTCAAACACCCACAATGACGGGGTTCAACCCCCAGTAAAACAAAGGTTGACCCCATTTAGGTGATGACAATCCTTGGGTAAATAATGGTGGTTATGTGAACCCCGAACCCCCATTGTTTTGATGGTGGTTTGAACCCCGGGGACAATGATGGGGACCCAAAAGAATGAGGGGCATCCTCTTTGGTGGGTTTCCGCGTTTCTCCTGCGTTCCACTTGGGAAGGACACGGGCCGCCGGAACCAAAATTCCCTCACTGAGGAAACCAGCCTTCAAGGGGCCCATGGTCCAAGGGGCACTGCGCCAGCCAGTCCCAACGAGTACCTTGAAGCAAAACCGATGGCTGTGTCTTTTCCTCCTTGGAACCCTCTTTCCCTTCCCACCCCATGGTGATTGATGGTGTTCCTTTCGGTTTGCCGTGGGTAGCACCAAAAAAAGGAGGTAACCTCAAGAAAACGGGCAGACCCAAAGAAGTACAGAGAGAGCGAGAGAGACACAATGAACCGCGAAGCTTTTGCGAGGGGAGGAGGGGCCCAATTCAGGGCCAGTCGATGCAATCTGAGGTTTATGGAATCTGAGCTTGAGACTTTGGCCTGGCAAAAGTTGGATTAGCGAGTGTGCGGAGACACGGAATCATCTTGGATTCCACTGGGCTCATAAAAAGAAGTGGTACAAAGTAATAATGGTACTGTGGATGGAAATCCTGCACTACCTAAGAAGCCAGGACTGCAGATTCCCCTGTAAATGCCAACAAACAATGGTTTTCACCCGTTTCTCAGGTGGTGCGAAATGGATTTCGTCCATCCACAGTATGTTACTCTATGCCATATTTGGTCAATCATAAAACACAGAGTAGTTTTGGAGAAGACCTCAGTCAAGGTCCCCTCAATATGAGTCATGTCCTGTCCGTTGTCCCTGAAATCAACTTAGCATTTTGGTTTCCGTTCAAACCAAAGCCATGAAGCTTTATCAACTCCAAACAATGCAATCGCCACGCGACCTGTTCGCCATCAAGTACCCACCAACATGGAAGTTCACATGCCCCTACCCTATGGTTCAACCCCCATTAAAAACAAAGGTCGATCCCACTTAGGTGATGACAATCCTGAACGGTAAACAATGGTGGCTTTATGTACCTAACCATTGTTTCAATGGTGGCTTGAACCCCAACACCTGGTCCAAATGCCATGCTTGCCATGCTTGTCCGAGTTGCAACTTTTAGTTTCGCTTGTCACGAAGGACAACGACTCAAACCTCCGAGAGCTTGTGGCTCGAACCGAGGAATGAATTCGTGGTCGAAGAGCATGGCGTGGATGGATCCCCTCGGCCCTGTGGAAGAAGATTTTTTTTGGACACGCCAGGTGCCCAAAACAAATGGGTGTGGCTCAAAATTAAACAGGGGGGGGGGGGGCAAACCGCAGGTTTGGGTTTCCAGGTTTCCACTTACCAGGGCTTGCCCCATTTTGGAAAAAAAATCCGGTTTTTTTGAATTCGCCACAGCCAAATTGCTCCGTGTTCCGAAAGGGCCCATGTTGCATCAGGGACGCCGAACTGCCAAGGCCAAGGCCAAGGCCTTGGGTGGGGCGGGCAATCGTTTGCCTGAACTCAGATGCCCAGTACATCTCCTTGGGGGAAAAAGTTGGCATCCTGTTTTAGTTGGTTGAATTCTGCAAATTCAACTCGGAACCTTTCCCTCCAAAAAAAAACGCGGAAAAAAAAATCGTCGGCGGAGTCCACTGGGCCCCTGGGCTCCTTTCGGCGGCAAGTACATCCGTACCTTCTGGTCGATGGGAACCATCCTTCCAGGCTTCAACTTCCATTTTCTCCTAACATCACCCACCCCTAAGCCACAATCCATGTACCTGGACCCTCGAAAAACCCCACGAGAAGAGTCACCACATGGATTTTGGGGCAAGAACCCATGTTCAACGGGCTGTTCCGAGGGTCCGAGGTGATATATGGCCATGGGTCAAAAGCCTGTACCCCCAGTAAACATCCCAATCCCAACTAAAATAGGCTAAAATGGGTGGTGCACCCCAAAATGGTACCATTGGTTTTGACCCACAGCCATATATTCCAAACTTGGAGAAGTATTTCGCATAGAGTGCACTTGGGACGGGAAACTCACCTAGGTGCCAGAAAGGTGATCTTTGACCTTGGTTGCCTAAACCAGGTACCTGGAGTCTCCCTCTCAGCCTGAGAAAATGGTTGGGCATGACCCCTGAATCTTGGGTAGCGGCTGACCCCATATTTAAAAGGGTCAGAAGAAGACTCCAGGTATAGATCCACTGGGTAACTTTTGAGAACCCCCTAAACAAAAGTCTTCCCGTCGGACATCTATGTCTCACCCGGTTCGAGGTGCGCCATAACCTCGGGGAGGCCTTGCTGACGTTGGTCTTTCGGCAGACTCAAAATCTCCAGAAGGCCGTGCAGCAAGATAGGCTGCAGGAAGCTACCTGCAGCCCAAACCAAGACTCCAACTTAAGAACAGGAGGATATTGCAACCCGAAATTATGGAATTGGTGAATTCCAATTCTTTTGAGTAGCTTCAGGGTTCAGGTACCTACGTTGGTTTCGACCACTTGGGTGTACCTGGACCCAAAAGAAAGTCCCAGCCTCAAACATGGGGTGTGAGTTGCCTGCCCAAAATTCTGGAATTGGTGAGTTTCACCTTTTGCACGGGCAGTTTGCGGGTTTCTGAGGGTAGACATTTTTCCCCAGGGCTGGTTCATTACCCCCAAAAGAGGGAACCCCTCTGTTTAAGCCTCGAAGTCGAAACGTATCCTGACTGTGGGTGTAACTCCCAAATCAAATCCATTCAATAGAAAGGTGCCCCTGAAGTGCTTTAGAAAGTGCTGCGAACCAATCCTCCGCTGAAGTGTGTTCGAATCCAACCAGGACACTTGGATGCATGTGTTTAGGGAACCCCTTGGTTGGGTTAAGGGGAAGCCAAAAAGGAAAACCCTCTTTCTTTGGGTACACTCAAAAAATTCAGACCCACTGAGCTGAGTGACAAACTTGTAGTAATATGGGGGGTGGGTCAAACATAGGGTAACCCTAAAATGGTTTTTCCTGGTAAATGGAAACAAGGACTAAAACCTGGTGGCTTCATTTTGACCCATACCCATGTTGAACATGACCGCTGGAGAGATATGTTTGTAGCATCCTTCTGCAAACCACCTTCTCTGCAACCCGCTTACCTTCTGTGTGGGGAGGGGGGGGGTTGATCCGATTTGAACATTCTCAAGGCTTATGAGCCCCGAACAATTGGGGGAGGGGGGTTGGGGGTTTTGAGGCGAACGTGTCTGATCCGGGTACCACATGTGTTACACCGCCTTTTTTCATTTTTGGTCGTGCTTGGGCTTAAGATTGCCGACGGAAGCTACGTGAGATCCGTTCAGGTTTTCCAAGACCGGTTTCCCTTCTGATTTCGTCAGCGGTTCACATCATCCCCCCAAACAAAAAACAAACAAACAAGAACTATTAAAAAAGAAAAAGAACAAAACAACAAAAACAGAGTGAGTAGGCAGATCCATCCAGGATACAGTACTGCTAGGGTGCTACTTGGCTTAGGGATCTGAGTTCCAGCTCACCAAAACGAGAGTGAGTTGGATCCCGACCCTCCTTCTGCCCAGTTCACCACAAGCGTCATCCTACCGGACCAATGCGCCAACGCCTTGAGCCAACCGCCTTGAAGTCTTGTACCTTGTTGGCTATAGATCAGCCATACAAGGCTCGTCTAGGGGACCTACATAGCTTAAAACTCTCTCGGCACATTACTCTACTTCCCAAACCCCACCAAAAAAGGGACCCCCTCCCCCCCGCCGACAAAGTCACCTTCCTCCTGAGGTAGATCGTTGGTTTCTTCCCTCGACGGGCTCGTCATACTTTGGCCCGGAGCTAAGGCTGTGTACCTCAGCCTTTGCCCCCACCCCCCAAACCAACCAGAGATCACATCGGGAACAGTAACATGTGTGAGTTCAAATAAGATGCCATATAGTTTAGACGCATTCGCTGGGTTACCCCAATCACATTGAATCCGATTTGGGGAACAGTAGCAGGTCCGAGTTCAAATAAGATGCCACATAGTTTGGACTGGGTTACCCTGAATAAGTTCTAACACATGGGTTCTAAGATGCTAAACACATAATTGTCCTTTGCTGCAAGCTGGAACCCGTTTGCTAGAACCCGTTGAACAGGTCCCCTGAGTTTGGGGGGACTCCTTGCGAACGGCCCTCGCACCAACTTCATCCAGGCTTCATATGGTGAGCAGCGTCTGCGGCGGTAGCGGTCAATCACTGTGACGGTCCCGTGCTTGAAGGGGCAGGGTACTTAGTAAGTGGTTAGTAAGCCAGGTTATAACCCTCATAGGAGACTTATAACCATGGGAAGTGGGTTATAACCTCACTTACTAACCACTTACCTGACGTACAATGCCCCTTTAAGTGTGGAGAAACCCATTTGCTTAAGACCCCCGAGCCAAACAACGAAAAAACCGTAGCGATAGATTCCCGTTGGAACCAACCAGGGAAAATATAACATATTGTTAAGCAAATGGAAGTGGATGTGACTTCTTGAGGGTACCCTTTGTGTGGGTTTAAAGGAACGCCCAGAAGGAAAACTGTGATTTTGGGGGGTCACATCGGGTCACCCTGTTGTGACACATACGAATGTTAGATTCAATAAAAACTCCGCATATTTCCAATTGCTTAAGTCCCCTGGAAAACATATGTCCAGTAGTGATACATTCCCTTTAACACCAAGAGGGGAAAGTAAACAGTATTCTCAACCAAATAGAAGCATATCTCCGCATGCACATGGCTCCCTCGTTGCTAGAGTAAATGGGCATGAATTTTAATCAGGGGCTCCTTGGCAGACATCATTTAGATGGGGATTCATGTCCGACCACTTGTGTGGTTCCCTATTACGCATCTCGCGTCACCCGGCCCAAGAAACGGTGCCAGTTGATGGCCGCGGCAACAAGATGCTGTTGCCAACCGTTGGCTCAAGAGCAACCCAACGGCGTGAGCACTTGAAGGCAGCATGGTCTGTTGAACCACCCCTTGCCAAAGAACATACCCACGCCACAGACACAGGGCCGGCAAGGGCCGCCCAATTCGCAGGTTTGGAGCCCTGGTCAGCTTCCCCCTTGCCAGGTAATCCCCAAGATGTTCGTGCAACTTGTGATGTTTGATTCCAGGCTCTAAACCACGACAACAAACACAAGTTCCCGGAGCCTTAAAGGGACTTGGGGTTGCAATAGCCCACACCCAGCCTGGCAAACACAGGCTTGAATCATCACGGGCCGCGTCACCTCAGGCAAAAAAAAAGCAAAGAGGGTCGGGCAATTCAACTTGCCAAGTGAGTCACTTGCTCAAAGCCCGGTACAAGAATGGTCGACCCAGAACCATGCTTCAAGAAGTAAGAAGGCGGATATCCGCAGCTATTGATGGCTGGGATCCCTTTCACGTTGACCCCAGATTCATGGACTGGCTGACTTATAGGGCGTGGCCCCTTTGGATTCAGATGACTTTTGGAGGGTCCCCCCTATTACTGCTGCGGATGGTTCCAAAACCCGCGAGGAGTTACGGGACAATTATACGTTGGGGAACCATATCACTGCAGGTTGTCTGAAAGGTGGTGCGACATGGATCCACATTCTTCAAGCAGTCTCCTTTTAGTTTCCCTGCAACAAAACATCATCTGGTCGTTTGAACATGTTTGCCCAACTCTGCCAACTACAAAGGGAAGCCGCTTCGCGCACTTGGAAAGCAGGGCGAGGACAACTGCTTGGGTCAACGCCTCTCCTTAATGCAGAACATGCACACGTAGCGGCTACCGCCACCGCAGCGATACCCGCCAGCAAGGCGGGACCCACACATGCCGCAAACACGTATGGACATTCACCCAGAATGAAACCTGGGCAACATGAATTCAACTATATATACATAAATTGAGTAATTCAGAAACCTTGTTTATGATCCCCCGATCTAAAGGGGGAGGGTGGCCCTGACAAAAGGGGAATCTTGTAGGGGCCATCGGCAGCAAAGCTTGCTATAGGTAGGGTATGAGGGACTGTACCAACCCACTCACGACCCCTGTGCTATGGCCCCTATTTCGCAAGGCTGATTAAACCCTTGACTCAGTTGCCCAAAGGACCACCAAATAAGAGGTCAATTAACCTTCTTGCGAAAAAATGGGCCAAAAAGGGAAAACAGATCGATTGGCGAGTGTGTCAAAATGTCAATCCGGTGGATTCCTTGGTATCACAGAACATGGCCCGAAACTTTGTTCCATCATGGAGCCCTGGCCCTGTGAAAAGTTCATATGGCTTCCTCGTGGCTTCACCCACACACGGGCATCCAACGCGCAACTTTCGAGTCGGTTTTCCAGTGCTTGGCTGTTCAACCCACGTGAGTAGGTTCAGCTTTTCACCTGGTTTGTAAGCTACTTCGTTGGCAACGAACATCACAGCGGCCGCTGACCCAGTTAGGGGAGAAGTTGGCCAAGCGAGATGCATCGGAACCCTCAGGGGCCTGATCTCGCGATCTTGTTTGCCCATAGCCAAAGGACGAACACTCCTTCGCAGACTTCCATTTGCCAATACCTTTCAAGGGGGACACAAAAAAACATGTGTCCATGCAGTAGTGAAATCCATTCCCTTTAAAAGCAACAAGAAGAAAAAACAACACATCCTTAAGCACATGGAAGTAGACCGTCTTTGACTTAAATCCAAGAAGTTCACCTCTGACTGGTAAATCAGAATGCCCCCAACTCGGTCCTTCAGTAGAGGTGTTAGAAGGGTGCCAACGTTTTGGTCCGTTGTCTATTTGCGTAGGGGAACCCTCCAGGGCTGTGGGAAATGACCACTTCTGTGATACAACAGAAAGGGCTTCCCAAAGACTAACCCCCCATATAAAGGGGGAGATTCCCTTGTATCACAGAAGTGGTTGGAGAAACCCCTTGATCCCACATCCCAGCTCCAGGCCTTAAAGATCTTCCGCATGAGCCAGGGCATGGCTTTGGATTCCGCGGGCTCTGCCAAGAAGGCCACCTCCTCCGCCAGCGCGAAGGGGCCTCGGCAGGTCCCCAAGGTCCCCGCTCTGAGCGTGTGGATGGACGAAACCCTCTAGGTCCCCCAGTAGTGCCCTTTTAGAGGAGGGCTCCCCTACTAAAATAGACTACCGAAAAAAATAATTAAAATAAAATCGGGCACCCTTATTCTAACCTCCCTACTGGAGGACCTAGTCTCGCACCACGAAAAATTGACCATGGTTGACACTATGACGTTTGTGGGTATTTACAGGGGAAGCAAACCATTCCAGGGTTTCTTAGGAGCCATTGTTTGTCAGGGTATGTGCAGGGAAATCAAATCATTCCAGGGGATCTAAAAGGTGGTGCAGAGCTTCGGAAGAAACCATGGCTGAAACATGTTGATACCATAAGTATTTACAGGGGAATCACCATTCCGTTGGGCTTCTGAAAGGTGGTGTGACATGGATTTCGCGACCATCCGCAGTATGACTTGTTAGACAGGCCAAATGGTTCCACCTTCAACATTGGAAAAATGGACTTGAGTTCTTTACCCCTGGTGTCACCAGCGGGAAATTTCGGTGTGCAGCCCCGTCTCGTCCTCCCAAAACAGTAGCAAGGAAAGGTGGGTGTGCAACTTTAGGCTACGTTGTCCCAGAGTCCCCTTGGTACCTTTTGGGATGTGTGTGTGTGTGTGTGTCTGTCTTTTGCTGGAAAATAGTTGCGCTTCTTAAGATTGGTTCAAGGGAGAACAAGAAGGACAGCCATCCATCCTTGACAAGTACTGGGGGGAAATTAAGTCGGGTTCCAGCATTAGGGATCGTTTCCAAAGCTCGGAACCCTAAAACATGAGCGGGTGCCCTCCAAACAGATGGCCCCATAAGGCGCGCAAGGCTTGCGCAAGGATTTTTCGGCTCGGAAATAACAGACACGGATCCAGAATCAGTTTTTCGGAGAGTTCGGCCAAGTTGGTAAGTGGTTAGCCACCTGGGTATTCACCCACTAACAACTGGGTCAACTCCACTTAGGGGGACTTGTAAGTGGGTAACCTAGGTTGCCGACAACTTACTAACTTGGCCGAACACCCAAGTAAGAACATGGTATGTCTCAAAGGGCCCCGTCTTTTGGGATGCGAGAAGCTGAGAAGAGGACACCAAACTACCGACGGGACCCCCGATGGATTTCAAGGCGAGCTGTTCCGGTTGGTTTGCTGGTTCGGCGCTTTGAAGTTGTTCCCCGATTTCCAGAACAACACTTACCCTCAACGAGCACAAAGTTTTCCAATCAAGGGTGAGGCTTGGTGTTCTGCTTCATATCCGGGGGATTGTGTTTTTGAGGGTACCCTTTTTGGGATGGTTTCTAAGGGAAGCCAAAAGTGACCGCCCCCCCCCCCCCTTTTTGAGAGGCTCCCTTCTACCCTAGCCCCACCTGCCATCTCAGGGTAACAGTCCCTGAGACTAACAGAAGGAAGCTCCCCCAATTGGCCGATGTAAATGGCGCAAGTCTTCCATTTCGGTGCTAGGTCCTCCGTAGAGAGGTTAGAATAATGGGTACCCTTTTTTCTGCAGTCCATTTTAGTAGGGGAAACCTCCCCCAAAAAAGGGTAGAAGGGCACTACTGGGGGACATAGGGTGTCCAAGGGGAGCTTCCATTTCAAGGAAAGCGCCTCAAAGAAACTTGAGCAAGGGGCTGCGATCTCTGAAATATCTCGAGCATCGGACCAGACGCATTGTTCAGAGCAGTGGAGCATAGGTGGCGCCTTTTGGAAAATAGATGGGTTTTGCTGGAAAATGGAACAACACCCATCTACCTGGAACCTCAAACTACCCATTAACAAAAAGAACAAATAAAAACATAATTCACCCACCAGAATTTACTACCCATAAAAAAGGAATTCACCAACCATACTTTTTTTAAATTTGGCGCATAATGTTGGTTTGCAAGAACCCATGTTTAAGTTGGAATTTTGGTTGGGTCAAGGTAGTTTCTCAACCAAAAAAAAGGGATAAGGACACCTCATTCACCTCATTGGAAAGTTTTAGACGTAACCTCAAAGGTTTGAGACCAGAATTCAGTCAGTTGGGTGTTCAACGGTCAACGACAGGTAAGTGGGTTACTTCACCCTGGCTTGGGGACGACCCAAGTTGCCCCATGGTTGTAACCTATACTACTCAAATGCCCAGTGGCTAAGGGGAAAAAAGGGGCCTCCTTTGTTGGTTGGTTGACTTCAAAAGGGAACACTTCCTAAAAAAGGAACAAAGGGCACCACTGGGCAACTGGGACTAGGTTGGTTGAGCATCCAAGAACCCCAAACCACCCTTAAATCCACCCACCCACCCCCAAACCACCACCCTTTACCCCCCTAACCCCCCCCCCCCCCCCAATTCCAGTGCTTCGGACGTCAGTTACTACCCCGCCGGAACCAGCGGCCTGCCCAGCGCCAAGGTGCGGTCCCGGCGCGGCAGCGGGGGCAGATCCTGGAGGTCCGTGCGGCCGTTGCGGTAGCCGCGCCAAAAGACCGGCGTGGCCCAGAAGAAGAGCAGCCTGGTGCAAAGGACATCTGAGACATGGCGGTGGCGAACTCAAAAAACCGGAGATTTCCAACATGGGGCTTGCCCCGGTAAGTGGAAACATGGACCCCCCAAACCTGCGGTTTGCCAGCCCCTCCGATCGTTTAATTTTGAGAACCACCCCCACCTCTGGCGCCACCCCAACAGGGCTGTGATTGAAAAAACGAAAACACTCTCAGACGCTTTGGCCCATTTCATGGGGTCAGTATGGGGTCAGTTTCATGGGCCATGGGTCGAAACCCAAATCGTACCCCCAGTGAGCATCCGATTCGATCCAACCACTCAAATAGGTTCCAACATGGGTGGCGAATTCACCTAGCCCGAAATGGGATCCCATTGGTTTTGACCCACAGCCATCTGCTTGCGCAACCCCCCCCCCACAGGGCTGTGGTTGAAAAGACCACTTCTGTGATACAAAAAGGGCTTAAGACTACCCCCCCCCAAAAAAAAAAAAAAGTGCCCAGAGGCTCCAATTCGATTGAGTTACCCTCAAACACGAAGATCCTCAAATAGGAAAAACTGCACACCTACGGTCTGGGATCCATGTATAGGGCCCGAAGGATGACCCAAGCTTTACTCAGTCCATGTCAGACTCCGTTGAGGCAACACATGGAAAGAGGATTTCTTGGGGTCGGGGGTGGGTACCCCGGGCCGAGTACCTGGAGTCTCGACCCGTAAACATGGCAATCCCGAAGTGCACCTTTGGCGGCTGTCCCATGCGTCGCGGACCTATCTTTTATAGGGTGAAACAGAGAGCTTGGTCTTCCGACCGGCAAAACAAAGTTCCTTGGGACCTTTTCGTTTGATGTCAAATGGCAGATCAGCCAAAGGCAACTGCTGTTTTGCGAATGGGCTTTGCAATCTTCACATATTGTCTGACCGAGTTTCAAGTAAGTGCTCTGCAATGTGTCCGAATTGTTTCAAGCCCTGCGAGCGATGTGCATGACAACACCTAAGACGTTGCGAGCATGCAACGCGTTTGGGATACTCTTGGAGCTCTACCAGAGTCTGATAGCTCACCCCAGATTCAAATGAATGCTCAGGAATGTGCAAAATCCTGCTCCTCAGGAATGCTCCAGATTCAAAATTCTGCTGGCATCCCAGACCTAGTCGTCGAACAAGTCCGGGATGCGATCAGACCGCTGATCGATGCAGTGGCTTTGAGGTGCTGCGGGCGCATTTCCGCCGGCTCCGCAGGCGCCGGAAATGCATTGCGCTCAAAACGGCGCAATGTCCCAGCGACTTGGCCCAGGGAGACTGCCTGCCGGGATGCTGAAGTACATATCTCCAGAAGCACTCAACTCATTAGATTATCAGACCTGCCAGACTTATGACAGGTAACTTTGGGATCAATGCGGAAGAAACACACCCTGGACAGCATGTGCATTGGCACTGGACTCGCCTCCACACTGAAGCAAGGGAATCCAATGCTTGAGCAGGGTGCGCACAGGCCACACGGGGCCCGGCATGTTCCCGCCTGCCGGGATGCGAGCGAAAGTCAGGCAGGTCAGGCAGCATCCGGTGGCTCACGAAAACAGGGGCTTTGGTGTGGAAATCTTGCCTGACAGCATGTTTTTAGTGCCCTCCAATGAAGGGCGCTTGACGTGTTGTTGAATCGAGGGAACTGAAAAGAAGCTGGTGACAGGCATTTCCGGCATGACTCAGAGATTTTAGGCCCTCCTCTTTTGGTCTATTGGCGACGCTTTGTCGCGGCGCCAAACAGGCCAGCTCCGCAAGACAACCAGAGCAAGGACCCGCGTATCGCCAGAAATACCAGCTGCTGTCTCGTCCTGCCCTGGCCAAGTTCCATAGCCATTAGCCCCGTCGAGGCAAAATTTCTAAGGGCATGATGTGAAGCCTCTCTCGTCGCAAAGTCTGCCAGCGTACAAGTCCTCAAGCCGCTCGGCTCGGTCGCAGTTTTAGCCCAAGAAGGCCAGCGTTACGCGCGCAGCGAGACGAGGTCATGGGAAAGTGTTGGTTGCTCAAGTTATGGCCTAGCTCCTCCAGATTTGAGAGGTTTGTCATAAGGGTACCAACTTTTTTCTGCTGTCTATTTTACTAGGGGACCCTCCTCCAAAAAAAGTTGGTGAGAAAGGGTATACTGAGGGACCTCGTGGTCGCTCAAGTTGTGGCACTCCTCTGCTGGATGAAAAGATGATGCACCGCATCGCTAAGATAACGCCGCTGCAAGCGCAGTGTCGGCCAAGTCTCTGCTTCGGACAGCTGGCTGTATCAGCAACTCAGCTTGGGATGGTTTTTGTTGGGATTCAAAGGAAGGCCAAAAAGAGAACACCGACTTTGGGGGTCCTCCAAATTTTGACACAGACCCCTGTTGCGATGACAGCTGATACCTGAGACTCCGCCCATTCAACTTACCTTTCTTGCACTTAGAGAACTGAACGCGGATCTGAGGGATAAAGTTGTTGACATCTTTGCTGCCAACTTGTCTCATTTCTTCATAGCATCCTGGATACTCCTAAGGACGATGTCACACACTTGGTCCGAAAGCCACCTTAGCCGCTCGCGCCTGGCAAAAACACTTACTTCGAGCCCTTCCCGATCCTGGTCCCCAGCCACCGGACCTTGGAACTCGGCAGTTCCGCACACTTCCTGCATGCCCGGCCCGCGGATTTCAAGGTGTATCGTCCCGATGTCCCAGCGTTCTTCGCACACCTTTTCCACCGGGCCTGGTTGAAACATGCAACAACAGAACAAGGTGCGCTTCCGTGCATGTTCGCGAAATTCCGCCTAAACAAGCAAATAAGCGGAAGGCTGTCATAAGGAAGAAGTTGCTGCTGATTGAGGTTCCAGGCTTACCACTTCAAACTTCTCATTTGAACTGACACTCGAACTCGAGCTGCCACCCGGTTTGCAAAAAATACCAGCAAGGTGCTTACGGCCTCTCTGATTCGGGCCCCGACATGTGGGTGACCGCTAGGAAGAACAGCACACTGGGAGCGAAGAACATCCCTCATGCGGCAAGGAACATGGCATGAGCTTCGCAAAGCCAGCGCCAACTTTACAGGCCAAGCGCCGGCCAAAGGAGCAAAACGCTCACGGCTGACTGCTTCAAGCCCGGTGACATGGGTACGCGTGAAGAACCTGAATGCTGAGATAGCAGACACGGGGAAGGTGGGGAAATGGATGCCCACCGGAGCAGCCGCTTGTTTCTTGATCAGAAGTTCAGCCAAGGTGCTTACGGCCAATCGCAAGCGCTCAGACTATGAGCTTGCAAGCGCAGACATCCGGCGAGTTCCAACGAACATGGACGTCTGGGACTTGCACTTCAAGGCTGGTTCAAGCCCAGTGACACCCGCCTTTCTGGCAACCTGCAAGATCGCCTCATTTGTTGGGACTCATGGGGAAATGGATGCCTGCTGACACTCGAGCTGCCACTACCGTAGATTTCTACTGTAGCTGTGCAGAAGTTCAATCAAGCTGCTTACTGATTCACGCTTCCGCAAGCTCTGAAATGGGGATGCTCGCAAGGGCTCAGGCTAACATGAGCTTGCAAGTGCAGACTAAATCTCTGGGCGAGCGCCAACGGAGACGGACGTCTGGATGGCTTGAAGCACAGGCAACCGCCCTGCAAGGCCACGGGCCACACTGCAAGGCTGGTTCAAGGTCAGTGACTCATGCAACCGTCTTCTGGCAACCTGCAAGCTGAGATGGCCCGAAAAATCTCACAGCACGGGGACTCGCTGGCAAATGGAAGCCTGACCCGAGCCAGGCTCGCAAAAGTTCGAGCAACATCAGCTCGAAGGTCCAGTCAAAGGAGAGAACCAGATCACTCAAATCGCCCCTTGCGCGCCAAAGCTTTGGCCACGCGCGAGGACGGCAAGCTGCCAAGGAATGTGGGTCCCAAGCGTCTCACTGACACCGCCATGTAAACTCCATGCTTAAAAGGGACTCACCTCTGATCAGGACCTTGACGCGAGACACATGTGTGCACTGCCTTCCTTGCAGTTCCGCTAACAAGTCAATGCTGGACTGTTAACAGGAGGGCTAGGCAAACGAAACGTATCTATCTCCTTGTTGCTGCCTCTGTCGAGCAAATATTAAAGTCCTGTGTGTGCTCACGGCCTCTCTGCGGGGGCTTGCAAGCTGAGATAGCCCCGTCAGTAAGACCAGTGTGGAACTCGTTGGGAAATGGATGCCTGCTGACACTCGAGCTGCCACTGCCGTAGATTTCTACTGTAGCTGTGCAGAAGTTCAATCAAGCTGCTCACGGGTGATGCGGGCGCAGCTCTCTGATGCACGCTTCCGCAAGCTCCGAAATGGGGATGCTCGCAAGGGCTCAGGCGAACATGAGCTTGCAAGCGCAGACTAAATCTCCGGGCGCTCGCGCCAACGGAGGCGGGCGTTTGGGACTTGCAACTCGACACGGCTCTTCCAGCATGGGCCACCTGCAAAGCCCACGGGCCACACTAGGCTGGTTCAAGGTCAGTGACTCATGCCACCGTCGTCTGGCAACCTGCAAGCTGAGATGGCCCCAGTTGTGGCACAAAAACTCGCTGGCAAGTGGATGGCTCTGAAGTGCGGGCCTGCAGGCATCAGAGCGGTCCAACTGTTGCAAGTACGGCCGGAGCCAGCGCAGCTGAACTTGGAGCCTGAAACCACCTGGAGTCTCCATGACCCTTGAAAAATGGGGTCAGTACCTAAAATGTTGGGGTCATTGACCCTTTTTTGACGGGTCATGGAGACTCCGGGCACCCAGAAAAAAGGGAACTCACCCCATGATTTCGGGGCAAGAACTCATGTTGAAGAGAATTTTGAGGGTGCAGCTGGTCAGAAAAGGAAAGAAATTCCTACGATGACACAGCATGTGTGGCTAGCTGCGTAGTCGCGCAGCCCAGTGTGTAAGAGATTTGTTTTAACCCGAACTAGCTGTGTCAGTTTCCTGATCGATGCGTCACCGTAGTGCTTCTTCATGCATACTACCGGAATGAGCTTCAGGTTGACAAAAGGAAGTACACTTTTCAAACTCACACACCAGGGCGAGACTAATTGTCCGTTGTCGCACAAGTGGACCAGGCGTGCTAAGTGCTTGTCCTCACAAGAGTGTGTGAGGCACGAAGCACGTTTGTTCGCTTTTCACGGTCAAGTTGTAAACAGCAGCTGTCTGAAAGTGTTTGCTGAAGTTTTGCTACCCCATGTCACCCGTGCATTCGCTCGAATCAACTGAAGGATCCGTGGCTGGCGCATTTGGGCAACCGAATGAGCGGGTTGCAAGGAGAAGCGGGGTGCGAGGTGGAATGATGACAGACACCAGTTGCTGGACAACAGCTGTAGTTTTTACTAGTTTCCCACCATACTTTTGTTGGCGGTGGACATGAACAAAAGGTTAGAATCCTTGGCATGCAACAGCTTTGTTTCAGCCAACCCTCTCTAGTGCAATGTAGCACGCAGCAACGTAGGCTCGAGCTACGTCCTTGGCTGCGTTCGGCGGCTGTCTCATGTTTCCCTACTCTCAGCTTGGCTCAGCTCAGAGAAAAAGAGCACAGCTTAAATATGGCGTGTTCCGGGACACGGCCACCCAATCTTCCGCACACTTTGCCTTTAAGCCGGTTGCAGGGAGGATGTTGGAAACTCTACATCTAAGCGGGGGTGAGTCAACAGGTAAGCGGGTTCTGCGGCTGCGAAAATTGGCGCGGCAAGAAAACGGTAGTGAACGGAAGCGCGTTCTGGGGTTGTTTTCTTTCACGCGCCCAACCCAGACACTTAGAGACTTACATGGGGTGGCGCTCAATCGTGCTCAAAAAGAATCGCCCGGCTTGCGGCATGACGGAGCGGTGCATGCGTGCACTCAGGCATTCTTGCAGCACTCTTGCGATTCAGCGCAGCTGCATCGGACGCGGATCGCGGCCGGAGCGCGCGGCCGAACACCCGCTAGCGTCCAGGCGCCAGCTTCTTCAGCCGGATTGGCTTCTCAGACTCATTGCCCTGGCACGGCTAAAACTGACACCAACGCATTGTCGGCCGCACTCGTCATTGCGCACTGCGGACACGAGCAAGGTGCAAAGAGTCGGACAGCAGGTGCTCTGCCTTGCAGCCGTTTGCTGGCAAATGGTAAATCAAGCTTAGCCGATGCCAAAGCAAGTATACAAAGCCGCGCAACATCGATTCCATGCAAGTGTCCGATTACACACTGAGTCAGATCCCCTGCTAAAAGTTGAAAACTTCTGGGTTCAACGGACACCCAACTGCAAAACCAACTAAACAAAAATCTAAAAACCTTTCAGGAATCGGACGATTGCCTGAAACCCGCCCAACAAGTCCAGCGAGCGCGCGAAAAAAACAAGAACTCTGCCAGCACCAAAGGCAGGTTTACGGCCCATCTGGGCCTAGGGAGGATGTATCGCCATGGACTCATGGACTCATACGAGACATGTGGTGCATGGCTCTCCATTCGGGAGGTATTCCTTAAGATTCATGGCCAAGGCGCTAGGCTAGGAAAGCGCGCGGCGCGCACAAGCGAGAGCCGAAATATCTCAAGGCAGCCGTGGCACCACGGTCTTCAGCTCAAGGAGCCGGCATGGCAAGCAGATGTTCCCATGGCCCAAGGTGCATGTCAAATCGGGCACCAGAAAGTCCGCAAGTCGCATCAGCGCGATCCTGAAGGTGCTGGAGCGTCTAGCTTGGCTACTCTTTAGATTCAAATTCTAGCTTGGAGGCTACGCTTTCGGTTGAAATCAAATGGACACCCGCCATTTGGTGCACAATGAGCCAAATCCTAGGGACATCTGCGATTCCATCCGCGAAGCGGACAAATCTCCTCGTGGCCATGGTCATGGCTCCCTCAACAGGAATCCTCATCATTGGCCAGGCACAAGCGGATAGGACTGCGGAGCCGAACTGCGCCGCAAGCAAAGGCAGCACATGTGTGGGTATCTACTCCGGTAGGCTGCTACCCTTTTTGCTGTCATCTATTTTAGGGGAACCCGCCCCCCAAAAAAGAAACGGTACAAGGGCACTGGAAGACCTAGGTATGCTTCGGAACCGCCCCGGCTCGCCTCTCATCGAGCGCCTTGCCAGACTGCACAGTTTCAGCACGACTTACAGAGGGGCCCTTGGTACCTGAGGATGTCTGGAGGGTAAAAGGGGGTCGTTCAGTACCTTAGGTACCAAGGGACCCTCTGGGTGAAATCTTTGGACACATCTTCTGAAAGGATAACCTGGCGCTGAGTCCAGAGTCTAATCCGAATCAATGCTTGGTGACGCAACAACTGGAGCCGGCTTCAGCCTTGCTTTTTGGCATGCCCCAACTTTCTGCGATGCCTGGCACAATGCGACAGACTTCCGACGTGGCCCTTTGATTGACTGGCATGTCAAGCCATTCATTTACGCTGGAATGATCAATTGCCCGTCAAGTTCATGGCTGATGACCTGGTGCTCAAGCGCCGAAGCACAACCAAGCACGGCCTTTAAGATCTCCGCTGCAAGCGAGTTCGGTACGGGTTCTGCTTTCCCTAGGAGCTCGCGCCACGCGGGCATGGCGGTGTACCAGACATCGCCATCATGTGTCAAAAAAAGGGGGCTTGGAGCCCCAAACTGGTGGTTTCCAGTCGGTTCAACCAAGAAGCAAAATGGTGTCCTAATCCATGCACCCAACCTGACTTCTCTGTTGAGCCAGTCGGGCCTTGCAAAGCAGCATCACATGCCGCATACGCCTTGCCGTTTTGTGCCAGCAACGGAGTGGCCGGTTCCAAGAATCCGAAGACGTGAAGACAGGGCTGTGGGGAATGGAATCCGCTTCTGTGATACAACAGAAAGGGCCTAACCCCAAAGACTATTTTCTTCATATAAAGGGGGATTCCCTTGTATCACAGAAGTGGTTGGAGAAACCCCTTGATCCCACAACCCTGCTTGAAGATAACCTTGTACAATTGATCCTATCGCGCTTGAAGGTTTTGCCGTTTTGCCAAACTGGAATGAGGTTGAGCCAATTGTAAAAGGGGCCTAGGTAGCCCAGCAACGCAAAATGGTTCATCCGCCAAGCTTGCCGAGGGTCCTTGTCATGCACTTCCGGCAGTTCTTCCATCGGAGCAACTTTTCTGGAGTCTCCGAATCTGACCCGAATCAAAATTGGGGCCATGGCCCATTTCTTTATTTCGGGTGACCAACCATTTTTAAGGGTCAGAATCAGACTCCAGGCAGATAGCTTTCGCTTGGCCAAACCGGGGCTCGCTGCTGCAGCAGCTGAGGCGATATCCGATTTTGGGGTGGTTCAAACGGTAAAAGGACACCGAGCGAGAAATTGGGTGCTTCTCAATCTACTGTGGATGGACAAATCCTGCACCGCCTAAGAATCCCTGGAATGATGATTCCCCTGGAAATACCGTGAACAATAGTTCCCATAAAGTGGTGCTAGATTTTGTCCACAGTAGGTCCCCCCAAACAGGGGGGAATCCAGTCTTTCTTCCTTTTAAATGCCAGGCAAAAGCGGATCCACCACTTTGAGAAACTGCCAGTTTGGGGGGGGGGTCCGATTTTTGAGACTTACCATCATGCGTTTAAAAAAAAAACGGAGACAAGAACACCACCAGACCACGTAACCACAATTTTGCGCCAGCGCGCAAAATAGCGTCCGCACGCGAAGCCGCGACATCGCGGACTGAGCTCAGCGCCTGCTGAGCAGACAGGACCTCTCTTCTGGCGACTCCTCCTGGCAAAGTCGCAGAGTCCAGCGGGTTCTAAGGTGACTGTCACTTCCCCCAAACCACTACAGGGCTGTAATGGGATATGCAACAGCAAAATACCCGAAGGGTATATAATACACATTAATGCCTGAGGCACCCAACGTGCCCTTTGTTTTGGGTACGAGAAAAAAATGCTCGAATTACCGATTTCTGCTCGACCCCCCAAAAAACGCTCGCCCCCCCGAAAAACGCTCGACCAAATCCCTTCTTCCATCCAGAGGAAGGCGGGATTGTTACATTTTTTAAAATTGCACTCGTTTGCGGATATGTGCGCTCGTTTTGCGGATATTTGCGCTCGTTTTGCACTTTGATTTCTGCTCGCTCCTTTTGAATATTCAGCGACCGATCATCTTGGAGGACCGACCAGCCCGGCTTTGGGAAAAACGCTCGAAGCAGGAAAAAGTGTACGTTTACCATATTTTGGTGACGACCCCTGGTTTTGCAATACGTTTGGGCTAAGGGCAGAAATTTATGTAACGAAGGGTGCTCCAGGTGTTATATATATGATGCCATCTGTTTCCCAGGGCGTGGCTTGGGGGAACCATCTTCAAAAAGGAGGAATTCAGCCCATAATTTTTAGGCAACAAGTGTTCAAGGGGAATTTTGAGGGTCCAGCTACTTGAAATTACCTACGGTGGCAACAACCGCCTCTTCACAATCACCCCATACGTAACATGCGGGGGGGGGGGGGGGTCTGGCCTTCCCTCGGGTTGAACTTGAAGCCGCCCTGAAAAGGGTACACACTTCGTAGCCGCATTGCACCACCCTCCCGGCACAAAAACACAGATTTATTTGGCTGTCCGTTTTCAGATACCCTTCCAAAAGTTCAACTTTTAGTGGGCTAAATGGAAACCCAACCACTAAGCTAACTAAAAAGCAACACAGCTAAGGGCATGGCTGGGAGCCACCCAGACTATACCCTCCTTCCAGCAATCTTACCAGCTGACAAAAGGACATTGGAAGATGAACTGTGCTTGCAACCAGCTGCAAATGGTTGGTCATTACCTAGCTCCTCCAGTAGAGAGGTTAGAACAACGGTACCAACTTGTTCTGTAGTCTATTTTAGTAGGGGAACCCGCCCAATCAAAAAAGTTGTGAGACAGGGCAACTAGCTGGGGGACCTAGAGGATACCGTACTGCTAAGGTGCTACTTGGCTTAGGGATCTGAGTTCCAGTTCACCAAAACGAGCTGAGGTCATACCGCAAGCTGAGGAAACCTAGAATACTTTGCTTTCTAGCCTGATCGAAATCCTGGGGGCCTAATCGCAATCCGTAATCCGCTTAATCCTTGTGTTGATCCGTAATCTGCGCTTCAATCTTTGGGTCAAAACCATATGTTGGAGCATGGAAAATCCGTGCACCCCATAATCCGCAATCCGCAAGCCGCATAATCTATTCCGTAAACCGCACAATCCGTAATCCGCTAATCAATTGGGGATTAGGCTTTGAACAAGCTAGGCTTTGGTGTAGCCCCTCCCCATTTGTTTGGTCCAGTTTAGCAGGGAATCTGGTGGGTAGAGGGTACCAGTGGCTGGTCCACCAGTGGCTGGTCATTCCTCAAAGGACCCGGGTGCCCGGGGTTCCAAATATCGCTTCCGGCTCGCTCGACGCTCGCTTCCGCCTCTTGCTGCAGCAACGGCGGCTCGCGGGCCAGCGCTGCCGCCATGGCGCGAAGGCTTGCCCCATGCGGTGTCGGGTGCCCCCTACTCCAAATACTTCTTTTCTATTGTATGATGTCGACCCTCTACTAAAAAAGGAGGTATATTTACCATGGATTTTTCCCCGAAAATACCCTAAACAAAGGGTGGGTATTTGGAGTAGGGGTGTAGACCGTGTGAATACACCGTGGTTGACGTTGGAAGGGGAGCAACAATTTGAATTTTGGCAGCTCTGTGGGGATTTCAACCACTAAACCACAATAAGCGAAAATGCAAAATGTTTCCCAACAACAACCATGACACCGTGGTAGAAAACAGCGAGTGTGGTCGACCGAAGTGACCCCGGGCCCCTGTCTGTCTTTCGTGGTTCATGGATCCCTACAAAATAGGTGGCTTGTGCCTAAAAAAGGAGGCTTCTAGTGGGGTCTACCAAAAAAGGTGTTTCGTGCGGTTTGCCACAAACCCCTGGCGCTAAAAGAGTAAAAGCCGGAGGGTATTGCGGGGAACCACTGAAGTTGATTGGTTGGTTGGTTGGGCTGGAAGGCCAGCTGGCTGGCTGGCTGGCTGGAT